ACCGAAAGTTGAAATAGGGACATGTGAGCCGTTTTGACCAATAATGAATAATTTCGACCTAAAAAGTTGAAAAATCTCGATTTTGAACACCCTATATCTCTGTAATAATTCTCGCTAGATCCCAAGTGTGATGCATTGATGAAATCAGCTCACAAAGGGGAATCCGAAAATGCATTGAAATACAGGGTGTCCCATAAGAAAAAGTATGACTTTGATACGTCACGCATTTTTTAGTCACCCTGTATAACGCGAAATATTTTGGAAATGTGCTGCTCATGAGCAGAGACCATCACGAAAATTTTTGTTCATCTATCTCAAACAGCGAAGCCGTTATCTCACTTTCCCATTTCAATGACTCACCCTGTATAGCATAGTTCTGAAGTGTGTGTATTCCCTGTAATGACAACAAAATTTGTAAAACATTCTGACATTTATTCAAGTTGGAGTAATACATGTGACATTTGTGATTACTTATGCTTATACCATTCTCCACTGGACTGAAATTATGCACTCAGTGTATATCTATCCTCGAATTATGAACATGATAAATAAAGACAAACAACATTCAGTGCGGAAAAAGTTCGAGCTAGTGTGATGAGTGGAAAACGGTATTAATATTAGAAAAATGCTATGGTTTCCATTCTTTATTTTTTAGTAGGTGTATTGCCCACTGTTATATTTCGAATCATCCATTTGTCGAATTGAGAATCAATGTTTTATTGACATTTAGTAATTACATGAAAAATTGATACAAGGATACATCAGAGAAAGATTATTCTCATTAAAGTTAAGTACCTACGACTAGTAAATTTGCAAGACATCTTAGCAAAGTATTTTACAAGAAGCAATTTGGCTATCTTATGAATTATTAGGGTTCGATGTTGTATCTTTCGCAAATATAGATAATATAAGCACAATGAATTCAAGTGATCATCTTACATTTCCAACTCCATGAGCACTATCAAGAATGGTTTGAAATCGTCTTCAATTAATAAGTTGAATCAGACTCAAACCTGGTGGGATTGATTTTCACTCAAATATATAAACAGCGCCGGTGACTACTAAAATGAGTCAACTAAAAGATTTGTTATTCCATTTTTCGGCTACAGGTCCTGCTTACAATTATTTATGAAACCCGGAGCTCACAAATAAGAGCTTCAATTTGAATTCAAACCCAAATAATAGCGACTAGAGAGTTTGAATTGCATTGATGAAATTGACCACCATCAAATTATTGTTTGAACCAAAGTTCACACCAAATTAATAAACTTTTTCAAGATACTATATAAAGGTTACTTGAAGATAAATGATTTCAGCATAGAAAAGGTAAAAATAACATGGTAAAATGAATTAACAAGATTTTACACTGAAGGTACTTTTCATTTGCTAAAAGAAAAGAATATACTATCTTTGGTATCACAATATAAAACAATTTCTTATTGGCCTATCAATAAAATGATACTATAAAAATCATTCTGTCTGCAATCAAAATATTAATACAAAACTAAAATTAAAATTCTATGCAGTAGGTATCCTCAAAATTGATTCAAAATAACAACCTACATCCTGTCAGACATAAATATAATTTTTATTCCCGTGAAAGGAATGTACTAAAATTCTATCAACAGTTTAAAGACCTATATACAAGAATTACACAAATCAATTCAACAATATTTTTTTCAGAGTAATGTAAAATAAAATAAAACTATCCAAGGGTATTGCACAAACCTTCCGTTGAATATTATATACAGAGCTGCTGATAAATATGGAACATAAGTGGCCCTGTCGAAGATATACTTATTAACTTCGAACTTTGAAAATTCGACTATGGCCTTTCACACATTTGGAATATGAAGAACAATTGTACTACTTCACTCAACGAACAAAATACAGGGTCCCAGAGCTTTTGAGCAAGCAAATACAAAAAAAGTGTAAGAAAAGTTGATACATAATATAAAGTCTTCCGAAATTCAACGTCATCGCTTGCAGGGCTGCTAGACCAGCTCATGACTGACCAGAATATGAAAAAATGACCTTGAGATATTGGGAATTTAATGTGAATTTTGTGAAAATCGACACCTACGATCTACAACTACGAAATTCTATACTCTAAGATCCTATCTTTTAGGCAACCCTAAATGTTATTATTAGATAACTCCTCATACTGTAAATAAATCTACCACGCTAACCTGGCAAGTTATATCAGAAGATTGCCCATCTATAGTACAGTGGTCTTCAGAAAAACATGTCGCAGTTGGACGGTGTAATCGCTCTTATTGCAGCGGTGATTTTAGAGCGCTTACACCGTTCAATCGCGACATGTTTTGTGAAGACGAGTGTACATTCCAGTTAAGAATATATCAGATAGTGAGATTGGGACTGTTTGAACCTCGCTGTTTATCGGTCTAGACGCCAGTCGATGTTACACTAGCGAAATCGTCTTACATGTTTTTTGGTTCATTTCATAGAATTTTTTTATTCATTTAGAATTTGTATTATGATCAACATCCATTGAGAACGTTTTAACAATTCCATGTGAGTCTAGTAGAATGTATCGTTCAATTCAATTCAGTTCAAAGCAAAAGTTTTATGATGTACCAACATACAACATGCGACTTCCATTTGAAAAACCGAAGTTAGGAGGCGGTTATTAGTAGATTGTCGGAGAGAAGTTTCATATGGTCCCATTATGGCCGAAATATGTCCGGATTTTTTACGAATGATCAACTTTAAAATTCCATTCCACTCCTTCGCATTAAATTTCACGGCTCTTACTATCCCATATCTCGTAGTCTTAAGAAGATTAATGATTGTAATCTAGAAATCTCCGGTGGATCGCTGGATATGTTCAAAAATACTCTGAAACGATTATTGTATGTGTGCACAGTACACACATCCTTTGTTTCTTGTTTGATAATAATTTTGTAATAACCTATGTATATTTGTAAATGTTTTGCTTGTAGAGTTTAGGTAGATATGTATATGCAGATGAATTAAAACTGATTAGTCTTAGACATTAGTTTATTTACTTATGTTCATGTATTATTCATGTAATTTTTCAGTAATGGGATTATCCCGTGAAATGAAAAATAAAAAAATAAAAATAAAAAAAAGCTCTGTGGCACTCCGTATATTGTGAAACGTGCTTCAACTAGGCATTAACATTTTAGGCTCATTTTGCATGAAACGGACATATCAACGTGTCAAAATTCTGAAGGTCTCCAGCGACTTTAACATGACCAGTATATGTTTTCACATTCATCAGTTACTCTGTAATATATATGTGTTTGAGAGCTCCACCACCCAACCTCTACAGAAAGGGGAATTCCTCTTATGTACATACAGGATGCTGGCAAAAGCCTAGGCACGAATATTTCCATGAAAATAGAAAAAAGTTCCGATATCCATATGGGCGAAAATAGTTCGTTTTCAAGATACACCTAGAGTGCATGAAAGACAACCCCTAGTTAGTTTTTTCACAACGTTTTCATGTTTTACAAGATAAACCAATAGAAAACAACTTTCTGGTCTCCTGATTTGTTTCCTATCTTTGATTTTTCGAGAAGAAAAAGGAGTTTTGGTTCTCTGAATTTAAATTTTTTCGAAATTAAAGTAGGATAGAAAAAATATCGAGAATCTAATGAGTTGGTATTCTATTGCTTGAAAAACCTTGTATCTGGTTTACGAATTGTTTTCGAACGTCACTTTCGTGGAAGGAACCTGCCGTAAGCTTTTGTCACTTGATTTCAGGATCACCTTGTATAGTGCGCAACAAAGTAAGAAACCCATATATTAGGAAACAAAATTATGTTTTATTGAATTGTGATTGCAATTCCCTTCTTCCATGAAAGATGGTGATGTGCTTTCATAATCAAATTTCGATTAACTTTTTTAGTTAGAAAAACCAACATATCATTATTATCATCAATTCTAGTTCAGTTTTTTCTACTAACTGAAAAAATATGTTCTTTTACAAATATACATGGTGTCTCCAAAATTATGGGTGTCTCCTTCGTTTTCAATGATTTTAAATCAAGAGAAGAATCTTTTGTAAGGATTCGGTAATCAGATTCTAAATAACCCTGTATACACAATATACAGTGTGTCCCACTTACCATGCTCACCATGGGTATCTTTTTAACGGTGAGAGATACGAGGTCGGTTAAATGACACCAAATGTGGAGTTTGTCAAGGTCAACTATAATGTGAAAAAATATTTTGATAAAATCTATTCGTTTTCGTTTTATGCGCGAAAAACAGATTTTGGTCATTTTCATGTCTCCTCCGTAACTTCTTTATTTATGAAAATATTCAAATTGGAATTTCACATTCTCATTTCAGTTTTTCAAAGTGATTTCGAAAAAAATATGAAATTTATACCAACTCTTCTAGAATTTGAGATATCAGCACCAACTTTAGTTTTTCAAATGTAGGTCATAGCTCACTATGACTTAGTTACAAATAACTTTTTTTTCTCTTTCAGATGATGTGTCGCAGTAATAGTTTTGTGTTGATAACAACGGAGTTATCGTCATTTATACAAAAACAAAAAATATTATTTGGAAGCCGCCATCTTGAATTTAAAAATTTTAACAAAAAAATCTTGATCTCCGACCTCAAAAACCCCCACTTACCCATTTTGAATGGAATCGGACCAAATCTTGTCCGCCATCTTGGAACAGCCATTTTTTTTTATTCCAACAAAAATTCCATAATGTATTGTCACCGAAATTATGAACATCTGCCAAATTCCAAGTTAATCAGAGTTATGGAATTTTTGTTGAAATTAAAAAAATGGCTGCTCCAAGATGGCGGACAAGATTTGGTCCGATTCCATTCAGAATTGCTAAATGGGGGTTTTTGAGGTTTGAGGAGATCATGATTTTTTTTGTTAAAATTTATAAATTCGAGATGGCGGCTTCCGAATAATTTTTTGTTTTTGTTTTTGTGACGATAACTCCGTTGTTATCAACACAAAACTATTACTGCAACATATCATCTGAAAGAGGAAAAAAAGTTATTTGTAACTAAGTCATAGTGAGCTATGACCTACATTTGAAAAACTAAAGTTGGTGCTGATATCTCAAATTCTAGAAGAGTTGGTATAAATTTCATATTTTTTTCGAAATCACTTTGAAAAACTGCCATGAGAATGCGAAATTCCTATTTGAATATTTTCATAAATAAAGAAGTTACGGAGGAGACATGAAAATGATCAAAATCTGTTTTTTGCGTATAAAACAAAAACGAATAGATTTTATCAAAATATTTTTTCACATTAAAGTTGGCCTTGACAAACTCCACATTTGGTGTCATTTAACCGACCTCGTATCTCTCACCGTTAAAAAGATACCCATGGTGAGCATGGTAAGTGGGACACACTGTATAAATATAGAGGGTACCCGCTTCTTGATCTCAATCTTGGGTATTTGTTATCTATGTGGCTGTATTGTAAAATACGCAAATTTGGTGAAATCAGACCAAAGATGCAAATTTTAAAAAATAATGAGTTAAATTGCAGATCTCAAACAAAAAAATCTTCGTATTATTTCCAAAAACAAAAACAAACGTAACGAGCTGATAATGACCTACTGAATCCACTAGAAACTGGACATGTCAATAAAAAGGGGTTTGCATAAAATGATCCACACTAGATAACTTTTCAACATCTCTCGTTATCTCCAGGAGAAAATGTTTCGACCATGCCCCCAGAAAATATGCAATGACGTGTCCCCGCCATTTCCCATTGTTTTTTATATTTAAGGTGATCGTCTTAGGTGGGCCACCTAGTATATGTCACTTCAAATATGCAAGTTTGGTATGAATTCATGGGCCATATGCCAATGCTATGGCATTCAACTTCAATTACCATGCCCATGAATAAAAAAAATTTTGGCTATAAAAACATGAAGATTCATGAGCCTAGGCCAAGTGGATGACTCATACGTGGCGAAAAGTAATTCCATCAACAACAAATATAGTCCCATCTTCAGTTCCTCAGAAAAAAACGCGATTTATGCCGAAAATCCACAGAGACTTTTTTTATAAGGTAGAATTGAATAACTTGAAATAATAATTTTTAGATTCAAAGATTTCATTTTGAATAGTATTTTTTCAGGGTTATGTAATATCAAAAATACATAAAGTTAAGGAGTGTATTCACATGGAAAGTGGGACTCATTCATTGTTCAAGTAGAAACACTTAATTATGTTTGATATTGTTTCTTTCTGTTGTCATTAACATTCTTTGTTGAATAAAAAAAAACATAAAATTACAATGCAATATTGAAACCATTTAGTTGCCGTAGTCCCTATTTTCTATAATAAAAAACAGTAACAACACCAAGTTGGTACAAGTTGCCGAAATATGATGAAATGAATGAAAGAATCAGATTGAAAATACAATTATTATTTTAGTAAATAATAAAAAAAAATAAGCTTCTAATAAGTTGTATTGTGTGAATTACAAGTTAATGACAATATTGATGATATTTTCGTTCTGTCATTGAACGAATTGAATTTCATGGATATTAAATGTATATTGCATTCCAATACTTTTGGACACAATGAGTTCTGAATAGAAATTAGGAATTACCTGATAAGTTTTCAATTCTGTATGCATCAAGCGTAGTGGTAGCCAATATTCTAGAACTAATTCATGCATTTGTACTATTGTAATATATTAGTGCATAATCTATTCCATCTATTCTCTGCTTTACCTAGGTAGTGGAAAGAATAAAAACGATACCATAGATAACAAAGCCCTTTGAAAACCAGAATTTCAAACTAAAATTTAGTGACAAACAATAATGCATTGTCACCAAATTTTGCGTCCAGATAGAAAATATTGTACTACCCTGGATATAACAAAAAATTACCTGACAATGTACATACACTTCAAAATTCTAGGTTTCTCTTGTCATCTCACCCTACTCGACTTTATGAATCTTTCCATGGATATCTAGCACAGGACAGGTTGCATCATTAACTGTCTTTTAAATTAGGAAATTTGCTCAATTTTTCTAGTAGACAGTCACCAACATTGGAGTACGGATTTTATTGGCATATTCATAATTAGCATAAATCTTCTCCCATCCTTGTACTGACAAATCATAAATCAGGTTGAATATCTCAGAGTGATGAAGCATGTTCTATGATAAAATCAATCGAATAAGCCGATTGCAATAACGAAAAAAAAAAAGTTTCTTTACATATGATATTAATTATCATTTCTTGCATTTACATGCACCAAAACTAAAATTGGAATCACCTAGCATATAACTTTGAAACCCAATCATTCCAAAAATGACATCACTTTCGACATCGATACTTTTCACCAACTCACTGATCCACTTGAAAGCGAAGTTCATCTCCCCCTATAGTTTATATCTTCTGTTTTAATAATACATCTTTCCGAAGAATTGCACTTTATGCAACCAACACTTTTTTATTATAAATTATCATATTGCGCAATTTTTTGGGGGTGGAAACTCGAAAAAACCGTATTAAGTAGTGAATATTTTAGATCCATTTTCTGAAAGGAAATTCTTGGAGTTTATCATAAACAAAAAAAACTCAGATCTTTCTAGATCAAACTATGAGCATTAATTTGTTTTACTCATTAGGCTATTTTATCGTAAAAAATATTATTTTTTGATCAAAAATCCATATATTTGAAGATGAAACCATATACCAAATTTGAATACCAAAAATTCAACCGATCCTGAATTATTGCGAAAAAATAATTTGTATGTCTCAACATCAACACCTGTCCCTCGAGAACACTTCAAGATCTTATGTACAGGGTGACTCAAACTTCCCGCCCTTGGCTCATAACAAGAAAAGATGAAGTGCAAATGCAAATTTGACAGAGGGAATTTGAATAGCTGTGTGTAAGGTAAATATTTCGCATTGAAACATCTTTTAACCCTTATCAAAATGGCGGAAATAGCGTCAGAAAAAATATTTTTCCACACAGTTACAATTTTTTTCTCATATTCTGAAAGAACATTTTTTTTTAACAACTTTGATCCAAAAATCTTCATTCCGTTGAAAACTATGGCACTCTGAACTCTCATATTAAACCTAGTGAAACTAAAACCCGACAGACTAGATTTTTATTAGGGCGGCGTCAGTTTGGATTTATAAAAACCAACCTCAGAGTCCATGTAAGCTGTTTAAATAAATATATTCTCTCATAATATGGAAGAAAAATGGTATGTATGTGGAAATATATTTGTTCTGACGTCATTTCCGCCAAAGTTATTCAAATCCCCTCTGCCAAATTTGCAGTTTTCCTTTTCCTGTCATAAGCCAGGGGCGGGAAATTTGAATTACTCTGTAGATACCCTAGTCGTAATAAAATCATGCGGGCTATCACCTGTGTATATTAATTGATTAGTCAGTTTTCCTAGGATTGACGTGTTTTGTTTGTGCTGCTAAAAATAAAATAAAATAAAACAAAACAAATAAAACGAAATAACAACTGATGGCAACATCTAGAGCATCCAATAAATCAATTTCTCATCAGACCTATAAAGTCAGTCTTCAATATTGTACGATGATCCAACCTGTCTAGCTTATTAAGTCGAGATCCATTTCATTCGAACAGCCCAAATTGCTCACGCATGCAGAGTGTTAGACATGTAACACCCTGTATATGAAACAGGTATGAACGTAAGACTAGCTTAAAATCTATTGGTCACTTAATATCGGCTCTTCTGCTTTCACTTCTGTGATACCTTGCATGGCTTTCTGCAAGACGGTAGCGTCTTTGAGGGACAAGACCTGAAGCACCTGCGGCGCGTCATTTCCTGAACCTTGGATCATCATCGAGTGCGTGGTTAGACCGCCAGGCGTAACGGTGAGTGTGTCCATACTCTCCCCCGAGTTAGGTTCGACCTTGAAGGAATACTAACGATTCAGTCACAATATTTGTCCTTCAGGGCTTGCAGTGCATCATATACAAGTGAGCTTTAGGCTGTGTCAAGTCTGTGGTTTGACTGGGCACATACGTTCAGTATGATGTCTGACCATCGGTTTGACCAACCAGCTATTCGGGAATATCGGTCAGGTTTAAAACCTGCCCACAAAGTCACCACATTAACTTTTGATGGGAGTCGTCAACCATTGACCATCCTGGCGTCACCACTGTGGTCGAACGAATGACTTGACACAGCCTTAGACTGTATTCAGTTCAACGATAGAGTTATACCACAGCCTTCTTCAACTCCTGAGCCGTGCTGAAAAGACTTGGCAACAATCCTACAGTTAGCCGTAAGTACACGGTAGATGGTGAATTTGTTTAGTTTCTGACAGTCAATTGATAAGTTATTTATTTGAAATCGTGCTGAAAGCCAGTGAACAATGTGAGGATTGATCTAGAAATGTGACAGTGTGTGTGAACTCCATCAAAAATAGATTTCGAGGAGAATAAAGTGGATAATGTCAACGTTCCTAATAATATATCGAAGCCTGGAAGCTTTGGCAAGATAATACACTACCCAAACCGATTTTTTATACGCCTCGACACGTGTTTCGCTAACTATGTTAGCATCTTCAGGAGAAGATTGCAACTAGAAATTATATTCTAGTGTGCTACATATATACTAGGTATATGTCCACATAACCGTGAAAAACACTAACCGCCAAGTCAATATTTGTAATGGATGAGTTTTCATGTTGACCTTCATTTCATATCACTAAACTATACAGAGGGCTATATGGAATAGGTCCATTATCCTTATTCATTCTACTATAATATAATTATAATAGTAATAGAATAATTTCAAAGTTCCTAATAATATATCGAAAACTGGATCATTTGGCAAGATAATACACTACACTGTTTTGCCACTAACCAAACCGAAGAACAAGGTGATTAAAGTTCGGCCTTGAAAGGATACTAACGATTCAGTGCTTACAGTGCATCATATACAAGTGACCTTCAGAAAAAAATATTCAGTTCAATGAGCATAACACAGCCTTCTTCAACTCCTGAGTGGTGCTGGAAAGACTTGGCAACAATCCTACAGTTAGTAAGAACACGGTGAACTGTGAATTTGTTCAATTTCTAATGGTGAATTGATGTACTATTAATGTGGAATCGTGTTGAAAGCCATTGAACACTGTGAGGAATAACCTAGAAATGGATTATAAGGGAAAGTGTGTGGGAACTCCATCAAAGATAGTGTTCGGGATATTTTCGTTTCTGGAAGTAAAGTGAGTAATTTAAACGTTCCTTATAAAAATATTCCTAATCATTGATGTGTGATAGGGAGTCAAATTTCGCTTCGAAAATGAAGTATGTTCCAATATTGACATGTTCAAAAGAAAAAGAATTACAGAAGAAGTGTTTGTGCTATTGATTTTGTTGAAACAAGAATAGGCAAGAACACTCATTTCTAGTAAAAATACTTTGACGTTCATCACGATGAGAAAATGCATTGAGATTTTCTTAAAATTTTTGATTCCTTCTGGATTTCTGAAAATAAATTCCCAAAGAATTGCTCACGTTAGAACACGACGGAAAATCGTCAGCGGTACTTACGTCACAAGTTTTATGACGCTTCGACCGTCTATTGGTAGTCGGGAAAAAATCGATAATTCACTATTCAGTGAGATGAACAGCATTGCCGTTTCAACCGATTCTTTATTACTTCTTTGGCTATTTTAACATTCATCGCTCTCAAAATTCAACTGATTTCAACAATATCATGGATGAACTGTTCTTGTTTTCCTATATACTGGATTGTGGCATGTTATGACATAGATATTAAAGTGATGACACCAAAATTTGAAGTTCATTTTAAAAGTATACCAAAATCGTTTAGTTAATTTGTTTTGTAAACCTATGTTAAAACTAATAATTGAGTAGTAGACCAAATTTTGTCGCTGCCAATCATGTCAGCTATAAACTTAAAGAATTGGAAATGAGGGAAACAACCTATAACATACTACATACTATATTGATGACATGTACTTCATCAATGAATATCAAATTATCCCACCAGTTCACAGTAGGATCTATTCTAAATTGAGAAATATTTACTTGATATTTCCTGAAAATAAAACAGCTGGCAACACAGGAAAAGGGATTATCACGTCAGTACTGGCGCCGCCAAACGCTATGTTTGAACGTTCCATGAAATTGTAGGGTACCTATTCAAATGGTGTTTACTGAAATATTACAGCATATCTTAACAAAAAGTATTTCAATCATATGCACAATTGAATTCACGCATCTGTGTCCTTGCCTATTATGGATTCGAAAAATAGGCCATCGGGTAGTAAAATCTCCAGTTCCTTTTTTTTTAATCTGTCGCATAATTCACTACGAATCCTGATGAAAGACGTCAAAAGTTCATTTTATCTATTTATACAGGGTGAAATCTGATCGATGGAAAAACTATTGGATCTGGTTCCTTAGCTCGTTTTAAGAAGAAAAGTTAACATGAACATATAACCTAAATCTATTAACTTTCGAGCTATAGGGTGTTGAAATTTTATCTTTCCAATTAATGAAAAAAATAGTCACGTTTATGAATACTTGTCAAAATAAGAACGCAACATAATCAAATGTCATTATTTCAAATACAAAATAGGACACCAGCCTACTAGTTCAAAATAGTTTTGTACACCACAAACGCACGAAAATGGTTATTATTAGTTTACGCGAAAACGGTGCGTCGGGCGGAAAAAATTCAAGATGTCAAGTTGTAGCAAAATGAATGAGGATTTCAAAAATGATTTTTATTTTCGGAAAAAGCAAGGGCGTACAATATTTTTTCAGAAAAATCTCCAGTATACATCCCATACGGAAGCCACTGGTAGAAATATTTAAAAAATCTCCTGCATCAAAAAATGCCTATTGGTGCTTAGTAGGCGTATGCCAAATTTTATGAAAACATCTAGAACGTTATTGTAGTCATGATGAGAAAACGATATTTTTTCCTCAAATTTCAACACCCTATAGCTCGAAATTTATAGCATATGTTCATATGAAATTTTCTGCTTAAAACGACCTAAGAAACCATATGCTATATTTTTAGCAATAAATCAATACACCCAGTATGTTGTTTTCGAAATTGGAGCGATGAAATAAGAGGGTAAAATATATTAGGAGGCAATAACAAAACAAAATAAAAGTACATTACACTGGATTTTTTTTATTTTCTACCCAAATTTCGTTGAATAAGAATATTAGTTTTATTCCGAAACTACATTTCTGTTGGAAAAAAGATTAAGATGACATTGAATTTCACAGTTTAAATGATTATAGGCGAACAACCGATCCCGAGCGTTTATTTTCTGCAAGGTAAGAAGCACCGGAAGTATCAATTACTTTTGCAATGTTGCAATGTTTAATGAAGATTAAATAATGTTGCATGCTGAAACCTTTTTTTCATTTTCGAACATTTATTTCTTGGGATTTGGGAGAACACCTCATTTTATGTATCACTCCAATTTCGAAAATACCCAGTATACTTTGTGTAACCTGGTGTTTAGAAATTTCGATTTTTTTTCTTCAAATTCAGCACGTAAACTTCAACAACCCATAAAAGTGTTGATTAAATTGAAGAAGTCGGGAGTATGACCACCTTTTCTCAATATCAGACAAAGGGTCTTAGGAACACATTTTCAATATATCGGGTATTATTATTATTATAATTAAAAAAATGAGAATGGGCTGAGTTATGGACCCGTAAAAGCCCATTTATACATGAAATAGGTATATGCTACACATAAAGAAAAAAAAACTCTTAAAAGTAGCTACCAGAAAAACAATTAGATTAAAATAGAATAGAAAAAACAAATCGAGTATTAAACAGAAATTGAACATTTCAAAATAAAATAAATGGAGAAACAGAGAACATGTCGCTGTTGGACAATGTAAGCGCTATTATTACAGCCGTGATTTTGCATGACTTGACTATGAGTAATTTCCGAGGTGAATTTTTCTTATATAACTACTATCTAGACTGCTATTGTCATATGAAAGAAAAGGAGCCACTCACGAGATCGAACTGGAGAACATGAATCATGCGTATTTAAAACCTGTCATATATCTTAATCACTGTTACTCATCCTTTCTTTCATTTTCGAACACCAAGAAACATGACTCGCTGTCATGAACGACATTTTGAGGGCTCCTGCGCATTGAGCAGAAACGATAGCCATTTCCATTGAGAATACATAGGTGCATCATGTTCGCAAAACGATTGAGATTCAACAGATTTATTGACTGGAAAACGGAAATTTGACGAATTGACATTCATTCACATACTTCGAATTCGAGAATGTGAACCTTGTGACTGGCTTGTCTCTGAATGGAATTTAAGAGCAACATACTTGTTTTATCTTATAACTCTCATAACTCTCATCTCATAACTTGATCACTAGACTTTACACAGTTCACTGGCTTTCAACAATATTTCACATTAATAACTCATCTAAACGCTTTTGAAAACCAAGCAATTTTATTAATTAGCATTGTAGTCACAGGTATATGTAATTCATTATGGCCAGCGAGCAGACAGTTTTGCCACTATGGCTTGACAATAGAGATGATTGTAACCCGGAGCATGCAACTATGTACCATCACAACGAGTGCAGTGTTTTCTTTGCACAAAGATTACATAACTTTCTCATTTCCATTGGCATAGTTTTGAGGTTATGTCGTGTGACCCAATGAATATATTCCCCACTGTGTGCGAACGAATACACCCGAGAAATTCGAATGATCTTGAGGATAAGTATCGATGAATATACCGCCAGACGAATTTCAAATCGCCCAGTTCAAACGGCGTTCGTGCCAGAAAGCTTACACCAGTGTGAAATTACTCGATAACTCCAGAAAATTGACATAGATTTCGTAAAATCAGTAGTAAGTAGACTACTGACCCGGTAATCTTGGAAATCAACTCACCTTTGGTACTTGTACGACGGGAGTGACACACACGGTCCCATCGCTATTCGTGTGGAGGTGTTGTATATTGGCAACCATCGTTTGGTACATCGAGGCTGAGACAGGTACTGTGATGACTCCGCTAACTGTAATTATCATCTCATAATAAGTCACCTATATAAATCTCGATCAATGAACCAACGCCTCTATGACATTATTAAATGTTTTAGGGCAACCAACCTTCACACTTTTTCATGAAGAGGTTAGGTTTAACACAAAAAAGTTGATGTTTTAAAAAATCACCTCCCACCAGATCTAAAAATATGAGCTCATATACCATCTCTTCATATAATCAATATCTCAATTATGCAGCTTGAAAAAAAATTAATTGAATTCGAATTTCACCAAACTTTCCTCAAGAAATCACATCCAATTCCTAATATCCAAGACACATTTCTTTTGATTTCAAAGGTACTTGATCCTAATTTGAATGATGGTTCACATATTTACAAATAATATTTTGACATAAGTACGTCAAACTTATGAATTAGATTTCAATATGTATATGAAAATGCTTGGGAATGAAGAAACTCCAAAAGTTGCCGGAAACGTTTACCATGCGTTGAAGCATGTATAGAAATGTAAAGCACGAACATTATAGGAATTTTCTTTCGTGCGCTCCAGGAGATAAAAAAAATCGGGCAACTTTTGTACATTCTTCAATCCTATAACTGTTTTGTACACATGTTGAACTTTCTTGATTCATACGTCTGACATAATGTCAAAATATTATGTGTGAAACATCACTGAGAATAAATCGTAGATCTGTAATCACGAGAAAAGTATATGGGAGTTTGATATTGGGTATGGTTTTTTAGAGGTAGCTTGTCGTAATTTGAATTTGAGAGTGGTCATCAGGACATGCTGGTTCATCATGTATATTTTTAACCAATTTTTTGTCAGCGGCATAACTGAGTTATTGGCTGTGTGAAAAGGTTTGGAGAACACAGAATTTTTTAGTAATTGAAAACACTTTAGAACGAGTAGATTCAAAAAGTCGAAAAGAATCCAAAATGAAACTGGTGTAAGGTATATGAACAAAATACTTTTCTGAGATAAACCTAAACTAGTCCAGTCATCATCAGTTCTCCAACGATTTAGAAAACGGTGAAAAAAATGTGTATACATTTCATACCGAGAGTATTTATATTAAAGGATTTGAAGTTGAAAAACTTTCAGAGAATCTACAAAAATATAGCGAAAAACTATTCAGGTACACAATTTTTTCGAGATGCTCTCTGGACTATACCTCTTTTCACATATCATTGTTATCTGGGCAGGTATTGGCATTTTCGAACTAGTGGTATCAGAAAATTCAATACAAATGTTTTACAAAGTGAGATTCAAGTCAATGTTACATATATTTCTGGTTACAACACACTTCAAGAATGTATTTCATTAGGAATAATAATAATAATAATAAAAGAACTTTATTTAACAACAATTTCCAAATGGCTATCGACCGAAGTCCTTCTGCCAATTGTAACAAGGTATAAGTATATATTATCATTTGTAATGATGATAAAATGAAATATATACAGGGTCGCTGATATGTATGGAATCTGAAAATCCAATAAAGTACAAGGTGTTCCATCCAAAATAGGGAAGTTAATAAAAAATCTGGAATATTTGAAAAAGTGGCAACATTGGCTATAACATTTTCAAATCCGCCACGTTTTGAAATCACACAGAACATAAATTCAAAAAAATCCAACAACAGGTTACCGAGATATTCACCTGTTTCCATACATATCAACGACCCTGTATATAGATAAAACTAGCTTGATTGCAGCATAGTAAAGGTGAACTCATTACAGTTTGTCCGAGCTTTCGGAAATGTATATTTCCATCATCAGGGCGACTACAATAGAAAGTGAAATGTGTACAGACAATAATATTGAGGATTGATCAAATGGTACTTACACACTCAATCCTCAATAGTATTGTCAATGTACACGTTTCAATTTCTATTGTAGTCGCCCTGATCATGGAAATATACATTTCCGAAAGCTCAGACAAACTGTAATGAGTTCACTTTTACTTTGCTGCAATCCCAACGAGCAAGCTAGTTTTATCTCTGACGTGTCAGCAACGACTTCTTCCTATATGAATAATGTAAACATGAATATTGTAGGAGTACATTCATTGTTGTTGCGTCCGTATTTTAATGAGTGTAATATAACAATCGGCCACTTTTCATACAAGAAACATAAGCATTGTTTTTATCAATTTCCTGGCATGTTTAGAAAAGATTAGAGGTCCACCATAAGAAGCTATAATTGCTTCGATTTTTCATGAAACTTTTTATTACAGTGGAAATTTTCAATTCAGGTAAATTTTTTCATTCGCAAGAGTTATGTGTGAGTAGTTGATACCACTGAGGATCATTTTAGTCACATCAAATTCAATAATGAACCATTAATGTTTATTAACCATAGCCTTTGGCAGGCCCACTTTATATTATCCGACCAGATTGTTTCAGTAGTATTTGGCAAAATCTGCTCAAACATTATTTGTCATATCAAATTGATACGCTCACCGCTACGAAATAATGTTACTTAGATAACTTTAATATTCATGTAGGACTAGCGGTACGAACCCATTTTTTTGTACGACACTGTTCGATTTGGGCAAAGAATGCACTAATTTATCTTGAGTTATCTTAAAGCAACGGTTATTAATGAAAAAAATGATACCGTAGAATCGACAACTTTCAAGCGTCGGACTGATAAATCGTACCACTAAATTTGTAGGACTATCTGGCCATTTCATTGTAACAATATTTAGGAAGCTGCATACAAAAAATTAGCTAGTAACACACCATCCATTTTGTAGGACAATTGTTCATAATACAATTATCTTAACATTTCAATAAAAAACTGACTGTAAGACAATTTCGACACCCCACCAAATCGACATATTTTACAGCTGCGCAGTACATCAGCCACCTCTATCGAGAATTTTCACAGAGGAAAAACTTGGCGTCTCGTCGAACTTAAGATTCAGCCTGTTATTAATCACTGAAAAAAACAGGCGGTGGATCTTGGACTAACAGTTATGTTGGTAGAAAAATTGCCCAATAGGAATATTTTCCGATGTGAAAAACTCTCTGCCCATAACGTTGATGTTTCCAGAATAATTTCCTATTCAAGATTCGCCGATGTGTAAAATCCTATTATTTGAATTATGGCGCCCACCAATTCCTATTGCCGGTGATATTATAAATAAACACTGAAATGAGTATTCTTACATTTCCAGAATTTAATGTTCTTATTTCACACATTAAGTCGCTACAAGAGTCTAATGTATTGAAACCTTGAAAATGTATTGAAACCTTGAAAATGAATGAACATTCAGCGAAAAATTGTTTGCTAATAATTTTCCAAAAATAAACATCAATATCTGAAAGTTGGTTTCACTTCCTGCAAATTAGAACGAAATATGTCATTTTGGGTATTTTCGTAGACCCTCAAACTGCATACACTTTTACACTAAAGTATTACACTGTGTTCATGAAAACTAGTGAATGAAAATTACTTCAAATCACGATGTTCGAAAACATCAGTGTGATATAGTGCAGTGTTAACAGAGTACCAATATTTATAATGCGGCAGGAGGTATGCGAAAAGTGTATAATTGATTTTCGTTTGATTTATTTTTCAATTTTTCTTAGGTGGTTCGTTCGGGTGCGGTCAGTAATTCCAGGGATGTCTGGAGAAATAATGGCTCAAACTGTCTATTTAGAGTATGAAGACAATGAACACGTCTTAAATAAATTTTGTTACAAATGTATGCTTGGATAAGTATAGGCAGGTACCTAATATTAGTTTAGTTACCCAAGAAGAGATATTATATGTCCCTCATTCGGGTATCGAATATATTTGGAACTATGATGAAAGTTTCATTGAACATGAAAGGGAAATAATTAATTTGAATTTTCTGTCTGTCTTCTAGAAAGGTAATATCAATTGATTCACAATATTTTTATTCAAACGATAGTGCATTATGAAATGAAGATTTAACGGTTAACGAACGACGAAATCATGTATTACAGTTCCACACATTACACTCCCTCTACACTGCACTTCTTCCACTGTACAGTGTGTCTAGTTTTCAATGCTTTTGCGTGATATCTCAGTTATCTTTGGAGATAGAACCTTGCGGTTTTCGCGGCCCTGTGCCACATTTTTTGTGAAACTCAATATGGCCTAATCTAATAATTGTTTCGTTCATGAGATACAGGGCGATTTTGAAAATGTATACTATTTGGACCCCCTAACCCCTATCTATCTAGGAAGTTTCTCACGCACTCTTTTTTTCCGAGGTTTGGTTTTGAAGATACGACTCAAACTTATGATTGTTTAAATGGAACACCCTGTATTTTATAAGCTCATTCAATTCCTTTTTTTTTTCTTTAAAATAATATATAATCTATGAACATTTTCAAAAATGCTCCAAAATCACTAAAACATTGAATTTTAATAGTATGCTATTGATTTTTCATGTTCAATTGAAGGAATATTTCTTTTGATTTTTCTATGGAGAGGACCACAACAATACATCAATGTGTACGATGCAATGAATAATAAGTTACTGAATAATTTCAAAATTCAAAACATTGGTCAAAACTGTATGTGAATTTGGAGTTGAATTCTGAGCAACTTTTTTCGATATCTTGCCATCTAACTCCACTTTTTGCCTCTCTCTATATATATATTTGATTTACCGCCATACCAGTGATCACGTGACATGTGTCAAAATCGATTTTCATGTTATTGGATATGCCTAATGGATCCCCGAGAAAAAAAGTTTGATGATCTGATAATAAACTTGTTCCCATAATATATGCTACGGACTTTATGGATGACAATCTACATCTGTTAGTAAAAATGTTGACATCCACCACTCAATATATCTGTCATGCTTGAAATAAAAGAGTCTTCCCAAACTGCCATAGAATTTTTCAGTTTAAACTACTTTAAATCAATAGGTAGTAACAATGCGATTTGTTCCCATTTTCATAGGTTCGAATTAACTAATGACTTTTGAAAAAGTTATTTGAAATAATTTATGAATGAAATCTCTGATTTAATTCATATGAATTAATTCGTGCCAACCCTGATTAAAATATCAACTACATTATTTGATTCAACAAAACTTAAAGAGTACAATATTTTTCTTAATAATTGATATGAAGCAACACAGGTCATAAAAATTATTTCCTGGGAAAGGTGCATCCATGTGGATTAAATTTATAAAAAAAATAGATTTTTTAGTAAACAAACATTATTTTAGGGAGAAATGAAATAAATTCAATTACTTTTGAACAATCAACATTTGGATAACCACCTATACGTTAGTTTGAATGGAAATGACCCCCCCCCCCCATATATCACTCCACTTCTTTTGATCCATGACTGATGGGACACCCTGTATAATCGCAAAAAATATTGAACGCCGTGAAATCGATACCCAAGAGAAATTGTTAATCAGAATCAGACTGGATGTTTAGAAAAGGGTGACACTACTTCCACAAAATATCCTTGAATACAGAAATTGTTGTTGGAGTTGAAATTGGCTCAAATCATTATCGATCTGTAATTCACTCTCAATCCTGTTGGTTTCAAGATTGTAATGATAAGGGAGCAATGTTCACATATAGTGAATTTAATACATTCCTTTGTAACATATATTTCTCAAATAACTACTTGAATCACTTCATTAACACAAAGTACTACTGTGGGATATAGAGTCTGAAACTCACCATGGCCATCTTCCGCAGTCAAAATGATTTGACCTTCAGAATTTAGGGTAGCTTCGGTAACCGAATTGAGATCGACCACTTCGCCGGCCGCTCCGCCATCAGTAATTGTCTGAATGGCGTGAACCTGACCCCCATCGCCCTGTCCAGACTGTAACTGTTAGAAATCAAATATTCAAAATACATTTCCCTCAATAACAAACCAAACCAAAAAATACTGCAAACAAATAAATACATTTTCAAACTGATAACAAAGTAACTCAAAAACTAAGAATCTACTCACATTTGGCTTGTCATTATATCAGCAAACCAGGTCGAATTGAAATCTGAAGTTCGTTTTCATCAGTAATCTAATTGATACAGAAAAATACACGGTGTAAACCTCAGATCAACAAGGAACCCTAGATAGGCCCGACGCTCCAATCCAATGTTCTGATGCTAAGATAACTTTGGGTTTATGCCAGTCGAAACAAAACAGCTATAGTACAGAGCTGTGCTTGTAAGTATTCAGGTTCAGATTACCTTGAGATATTGGGCGAATTGATTGCGGATATGATTTTTCATAAAATGGCTAATAAAACTAATTTTATTATTATTAAAATAATGATAATGGGCTGAGGTGTGAACCTATAAAAGCCCATTTATACATCAGCAGAATAGAATCACGATTATTCTTGACAAGCTCACAGAAACTAATTCAAGAGCATCACTCATCACTTCATATTCGCAATTATTTTTTATCAATTCATACAATATAAAAACGTCATCCACAAAGACAATCATAATGTTATACGTTTTAAATCGTAATCCACCCATTTTCGCTGCTTTTGAGAAATGGTTTTTCATGCCTAGTTATACAATAGTTTCTATACTCAAATCAATCAACCTGAGTACCTAAAGTGAACGTATGCGGAAACAGCATCAAAGTAAATTGACATTCCATAACACTTATGTTCGCGTCCGGCCTATCTAGGGTCCCTTGTTGATCTGAGGTGTAAACGAAAGTAGAAGAGCTATGAGAGTTTCAAATCATATATGCCTTTATGTGTTGGGCCTACGAGGTCATGATTTCGAAGTTATAACACCGTAGGTGAGATCGTAGTTCTCTCAATGGCAAAGAGAGAGTATGAACTTACTTAGTCCTTCCATATTGGCTACAAGCTCACTCCCGTATTCGGTTCGTATAAGATTTACTCAAAAATGTACGAAATGTTGTTTGTAAACTGTTCAGGTTGTAGATATTTTAATGTTTTTACACAAGGGCACTAGATAGGGCATTAACCAATATTATAATAGACATTTAGTTGGAAACAATAAATATATGGCTAATTTCAGAATTAACTCAACAGGCTAATTCTTTAAAAAGTCAAACGAATGGGCGAGTGGACTGGTAGTGAATAATTGTCATTCAATTACTTCATTGTATCGTTAGGGATTTGAGGTAATTTTTTAACACTTCTTACGCGTTTTTGATGTAAATAATGTGTCTATGCGTTGTTCGAAGTTGTTGGACTTCAGAGCTCATTTCAAACGTACCTAATAGGATAAGCCATGATATCATAGTTATCAATAGATGACTTCTTCGAGCTACCAGCTCCATAACAAAACATCATGTAAATGTTAGCTAGGCTAGAGACTTGGCAATGATGTGCTAAACGCTGAGAACTGACAAGACAACGCCCACAATCCTGTGTTGTCACGGAGGGACATCGTTGTGAGCGCAGAATATAGGGTGAATTCGAGTATAGCGACTTCTGTAGGATGCAAAATTATAGGTCGCATAACATTTACAAAGGAAACATTTATTTCGAAAAAATGTATGGCGAATGGTTGTGGCGCGCATTCCTAAAGGGCTGAAAAACAATTGGATATATTTCTTTGGGTATGGGCAATGACCATAGGTTACTGCTCTTTAACGAATTCAATTCTCGAGAGCCAGTTTTCATTTCTTATGGAAATAGTAGTATACAGACTGACTGACAAAAACACGTCCTACCAACGCCGCTAACCGAATTTAAAAAAAAAAACAGAAAACCAAATTATATGACTCATCAGAATCTATAAATGGCTCTGATCATCATTTTTTTGAAATTCAAACTGTGACGTCAGCGACTGCCAACTTTTTTTTAATGGCAATGTTTTTTTTTCAGTTCTAGATTTACAGTAATGTTTCACAAGTTGACTTAACAAAATTGGTTGAAATGAAAAATAAATGCACTGTTCACAATAAATTAGAGTATTGTTTTACGAACGACGTAGGTATGTAACATTTGTTTTCAAGTGAGTTCACATATTCAACTTTCGTCACTAGAAACAAAAGTTTACGTTATGAGAATTTATCTCACATGCAATGGAAACCACATTTTCGCACAAGGTATTCCATTACAAAATGACGTTTTCTCGTGAAGGGTTGTAGAAAAAGATATTTCCATAAAATTTTGAGATGTATCATTAAATGTCGCAGTGAATATCACTGAAATGAATGTCAGTTTTTCATTCATTTTTACAATCCGAACCGAATAATATTATTGCTCTGTTATATAATTCTGTCTTTTATTTTCAATGTGTGTACCTAGGAACTCAATGAGAATGTCCTATTTGTCCTAATTGGATTCGTTTCAGTCGTATGAGGTCGAGTTATTGTTATGTTTTATTCAAGGTACGACTTCAACAGCTGTCATGAGGAAAATACCAACAATCAAAAAATGGTAAGAAAATTATTTCACAGAAATCTAAAATTTCGCTCTTCGATTTTTCGTTGTGTTTCGATCTCTAGATTGTTCGCTCTCAAGGTATTCCGCTCATTAAATTTTTGCTTTAAACGGGGCGCTCTGAAATTTACGTTGAGTAGTTTTTCTCAGAAAATACCCATATCCGTTGTCACGTTTACCGGACCATATCTCCTCTAGTGTGCATTAATATGATTATTATTGACACAAATTCATTATATTAGGCAATAAGACAACATATAGGAGGGAAAATTACAAGACAATTGATTTTTTCCAGTTAATTAAGAGTATAACCAATACATAATTGAGGATTTATGAATTATCAAATGAATAATACTTCTGAAGTTCCCATCCGTATTCCAACATATGGCAACTATGCTATGATCTGCCCCTACTTACGAAATCGTGACATCAGTTCTTATTTGTGGTAACTTTCTAGCCGTTTGAAAATTACCGTGGCAATATTGATCATATTGACACCTCAAAATCGAACGAAAATATAAAAAAAATATGGAATCGAATGGAAATTTTGTAATGATTCTATTTTGAAAATGAAACAACTAGTCCACTCGCCTAATATGAAATCTGATCACACCAGATGGTTGAAATCATACATTTCGGGGGAATAGAGGAACACACAAATTCACAATAATGATACAAGAACTACATGCATGGTCTCACGGTGACTTTTGCCACAAAATGTATACATAGGATTGAAGAAAATTGCCAAAGGATCTTGCAATGTTATGAAAAAGCTATAACTATCTTAGGTCAAATATAAATTGAGGCAGGTAGCCCGACGGGATCAGTGTTAGTCGGAAATATATGATAAATCAGGTGTTTTTCCAGTTATATTAGGAAGAGACGTAGTCATTGTGATTCTGTATCGTGTATTGTACTGTTTGTGTTTAAATAAATCGGTTCCAGTTTTCTACTGAGAGTTTTGTGAAAACCGAACCCGGACTTTATCGTAACATCATAATATATGCCACTGTATGCAAATACAGAAAGAAAACGTCCTTGATTTCTTTGCTGGAAAATGATCATGTATATGACCAGAAGGGCTAATAGTCGGTCATCAGAGACCACATCGGCAGCCAACGTCAAATAACTTTCTTGATCAAGAATCCACCATTACCATTACTCACGTGATTGGATTTCACCGGAACAAAAAGCATCTCTTGGAATTACTATCATAAAATTCGACCTGATTTACTGACCCAAATTCAGATCACACAAAAATGAGGATATGAGCAATATACAGGGAGAACTGAACCTGTTGGGCTCATGAATTCCATATGAATCTTTGCTTAAATTAAACTTAAACTCATGATATAATTACGATAAATTACTTTTCACCCTGTATAATTGTGAACATCCTCAACAAAAATGTGTCCAGAAAAAATAAAACGAGTACTTACCGTTGCCATCCCCTGTACATGTGCAGTAGTGCCATCTGGTAAGGTTATAATGGGGTTATTAGGATCAACTTGAACGATACTAACAGTACCATCTGGATTTGTGATGGTGTGCAATACAGTTGGCGTATACTGGGTGGTAATCTGGAAAAATTCTTCTGTATTCAAGTATTACATTTTGTAAGGAAATATCACATTCATCACATATTTTCAAAATAGACTAAAATATATTGGCAATAATATCATAAAATACAGCTGTGAATGAAAAAAAATGTATCACATAACAATTCAACAAAATGAATCAAACAGAAATCTATAAGAATTGCAAAATACATTCAACTCTCTATGACCAAGTTTTCAAGAGATTTTTGAGCAATGAATAATAATATCTGATCAATCCATCATGCTAGAATAATAAATATGTAACCAATAAGTCCTCATGGTCAAAATTTAATTATGAACACTTAGTTTGATTCATAAAGACTTGCAGATATTTATACAATATATTGTGTATTTGATGATAGTGATGAAAATGATAAAAATCTAAAAAAAAAAATTACTCAATCTAATACTATACTAAAACAAAAGAAACAAAACCAAGCTAATAGGATAAACAATAAAAAATCAAACCTCAAAAATATTCGAAATTTGTACTGTACTAAATAGTCAACTTCAAAATGGAAACTTTGGATTGATGGAAAAATACGATCAATATGTCCGACTTTCAGGTACTCAATATCTTACTATCACTTCCGGTTTGACAGGAAGCACTATCGATACTGGCAATTGAATATGTCATATTGGATGGTAAATTAATGCCACTGGATTAGTAGTCTATTCAAAAACTACCACACAGACATGAACAAAAGGGTTCAAGTGATTTTGAGATTTAGCCTTGAGACAGAGGTCATTCTATTGAAGTTATTGAAGCAATGTTTACAAACATTTTGATAACTCATACCGAGTGTCCTAGGGAGTAACTTGCCATCTTGAATTTTTTGTTTTCAAAGACAGTAACTTTCGATTTCCAGATGGCGCACCCTGTATATTCTTTTTTTCTAACTCAAAACGACATTATTGTTGCAAGTTTGTGTCAGAGGTTACTTTTCATCACATTCACGAAAAATTATTGCGAACATAATTGTTGAATTCAGAGACTCTGCCGACGTCAGCATAGACGATTGCCAAGCACCTCTCTACCAAGACAAGTTTGTTTGTCTCTGAATCTTTGGAAAATTTCAAAAACATCTAGAGCCTACATTTTCTCACTTCCTACCTCAGGCCTGCATGCAAAAATTTGTTTTCATTTTGATGAAATGAGCGACAATAGTCTTTTGTACCGTGGTTCATGTAATAGTATAATAATTATCCGTGTTCATTAATAAAAATGAAAGTGCAATTAGAAGTAGCTGAGTCGGGTAGAAAGAAACAAGCCTATGAAGACACTTAAGACCGCATACCATTTGTTTTACGCTTTTGACTATGTAGTTCGATATTTCGATAATCACCTGCCTACTATGTTCGTATGGAATGAAATCCCCTTCGAATGTTCGAACCATCACACTCAATAAACTGCTTCAAGCGGCGAATACATTCCTCCTCAACAAGTGTTTATTGCACGATGTTCTTTGAACATTATAGGGATTTCCTTTCGTGCGCTCCAAGCGATAAAAAAACATCACTGGGCTCTGAATGCACGATGGGCACGAGCATTTTGCTGAACACATACATGGCTATTTCTGGAATTAGCAATTCCGTCCATCTTGACGACGTGGAAGGTTGGGAAAGAAAGGGCTTGGGAACTTGTTTTTTCATAAGCAAGACACACTAAGTCATCTCTACAAATTTATTGAATTATCAGTGCCTGAAAATGTTTCGGATTACAATTGATGTTATGTTTAGCTGTTAGTGTTAGAATGGCCCATTCTAACACTAATTACTTGGATGAACAAGTGTTGGTACCCTCCATAAAGCCCTTTGGGCCATGGGCATTTTGCCCTTCATCAATTGTAGCAATGTAAATTCGATAGTATAGTATTATTGTTGCCTCTTTTTTTCACTTCCACAAATTGTCTTTTAAACATATGCTTCTGCTGATGATAGTCCGCAACATTATCAGACACTGATAATTTAATAAATTTGTGGAGATGACTTAGTATGTCTTGTTTATGAATCTATTCACTCCACTTTGAGATACCATGGACTTTTGCCATAGATAAACTTTTTTTTTCCTAGGTGGTATGGTTGGAAACGATTTTCATGAATAATACGCCAAACTGTATTTCGCAATAACCCCAATCTCTGCCTAATTCTCTGGGTATTTATCAAGGGACTTTCGTCTACTAGCTGTAGCACGTTCTCGGTGGTGTCCCCATTGTAAAAAAACTCTCTGTACCGCTTTCAGAATCGCTCTGGAATCCAGTTGGCGCCTGTCAGGAAATTATTTTCATGTACTGCAACGTCACTATCATATAACAATATCCTTTTTTTTATGTTCTGGTTCCCACGAAAAGGGATATCCAGTTATGTTCACAGAACATCGTGAGAACCAAGGGAAATAAGGTAGGAATTGGTGTTCTTCTTAAATTTTTGGAGGTTATATGCCTCGGGGAACACCTTCCTTGAAAATGTGTTCCAGAACCTCGCTCCATCGTTGGATGACCGAGTCTTTGGAAATAGATGTTCTGCAGGTCTCCAAAGTGACCACAAAGGGGCGCGAAGCCTCAACTCGACGGGTTAATCTCGCGGAGACTGCCAAGGGAGGAACAATTGTTGATATTTCAGAAGAGCATCGTCCGTGAAAATATCTATAAAATAAAGCCAGATCGCCAACTTTTCTACGGTGTTCCAGAGAAGTGAGTGAGTTTGTGAGCGGGGTATCACCCACGAGACGAATTGCCCTTTTTTTAACAGGATCCAACAGTTTCAGGGTACGGTTGGGTGCTGCATTCCAAATATGGAAACAGTATTCCAGGACAGGTCGGATCTGTGCCTTATAGATCATAAGCAGCTGACTGGAAGTGAAATAGCTCCTGGCCCGAAACAGAAAACCAAGTTTTTGGGATGCGATTTCAGCAAATGATCTCACGTGATTTTCCCAAGAAAGGTTATTGCTGATAGTAATACCTAGTTACTCCTGACAAGCTTATGTTGGGCACAGTGAGATCGGCTTTTCTAGAGAAAAGGCATGATTTGTTTGCATTGAAATCTACAAGTTATTGGATCCCCATTCGAGAATTGTTGCCATGTCCATATTTATGTTGTCAACATTTCTTCCTCGTTCGTTCCTGATTTGCCTGGCTGGTATTGGAGCCCTGGAAGAGAAGGCGTTATGGAGGGTACTATCATCCGCGAAGCTGTGTACTGGACATGAAGTTGCTTCCAACAAATCGTTGATATGGAGTAGAAATAGTGTTGGTGCTAGAATTGCACCTTGCGGAACAACAGTATTTATGATAAAAGAGTCAGATAAAACTCCGTCGACCACTACATGGAGAGACCTGTTTGAGAGAAAACTAGCTAGCAGAGAACATAGATGGGGAGGCAAACCATGAGATGGAAGCTTGGCAAGGAGTCCATAGTGCCAGACTCGATCGAATGCCTTGGAGATATCAAGTGCCACGGCTAAGGTTTCACCATATTTTTCAATAGATTGCTGCCATATATGTGAGACGTAAGCGAGCAGGTCACCAGTTGATCTCTGATGACGGGAGCCATATTGCCTATCGTTGATAATACCTTAATGTTCCAGGTATTTCATGAGCTCGATGTTGATAGCTTTCTCCATGATCTTTGAAATAATAGATAGCAGTGTGATCGGTCTGTAGTTGCTAGGTAGGGTCTTTTTGCCTTGTTTAGGAACTGGTTGTACTCTTGCAATTTTCCAGTTGGACGGGAATATCCCCAATTTGTAAGAGTAGTTGAACAACTTGCAGAGAACAGGTTTAAGTTCGGGAGCACATTTCTTGGGAACAATCGGTGGGTTTCCGTTGGAGCCGAAGAAAAGGTGAAATATCGACACTATTCCTGAGACGATTCCCGATAAACACGAGATATTAAAATCGGTCAAAACGCTCTACACCCGCTATCAATCTTGCAGGTGCATATAGCTGGCTGGCTAAGGCCCGCGTTTTCGTGTCTTTGAACTTCATATGATTTAAAAATATTCACACTGCCAGGGAATTCTGGGATAGATTAGACGTTTTAGTTTGGATAAACATCATAAATTTACTCGGATTGCTCTGAAAATTTGTAGATAGTTTCTCAGATGGCAGACATACACCTTTTTTGGATCCTAAGTCCTAACATAAATTAGCCGGTAGACGTTCGACTGTATTCAATTCAATTTCCAAATTTATGTTACTAGTTTTTTCAAACGAAAATGTTCTTAGAATGTTCAATTAAAAAATATTATCTTATTAGCACACATCATTGGACTGGAATAACTTCTCTTAAAAATCTTGAAAATACGTCAAAGCTTTATTCAAATCAATCTTTTCAGATACGATGAGTGACAAATGTCTTTTAGTTTAATGTCGTTAGTACCGTTTCCAAATAAACAGGAAGTTGAAAAAAGCTGTCATTTGTCACAAAATTCAATTTTCTGTCATAGATGTCCTCCAATTCTCATTTTCATAACCATTTAAGTTTCTATGTCACTCGGTATTGAAAATCTGAATTCCTAGAAAGTTATCTTAATTAATATTGTATAAGCATTCTGGGATCTCGGTTAAAAACATAAAGATATTGATAGAACATGCCCTAATCATAATAGTTTCCAAATCGAAGCTAAGCATAAGTGGCTTCACGTACACTTACCAAATCTACCAAGGTGACAACAAACGAAAAATAAAGTGAAAACCACCAAATCAAACGAAATCCAGTGCAACTATATCGAAAAATTGTCTACACACATCGACATCCGAGCTATAGCCCGCGGAGTCTAAGCAATCTTGCGTCGACGACACCGAAAGGCCGTCGGGAGAAACCGCGATGATTTTGGATCCTAACATAGATCTCGCCCGATAGACGTTCGACGGTATTCAATTCAATTTCAAAATGTATTTTATCTACTCACTGAATCGAAAGTAGGCGTTTGCTTCCTCATTTGAGGAAACAAAAGTGTCAATTCATTCCCACAGAAGGAAAAAAATATTAGCTCCCATGGGAGGTAAAATAAATTGGCTTCAGCATGCATCCTTTGGCGTCGATATACCTATAAAATCTGTGCAATCCAAGTAATCAGTGTCTTTATCACTATTATAAAACAGCTAGGTAACAATAATATCCTCCTAATCAAAACTTTCAAATGCATGCAAGTATCATATTGACTTTCGTTCAAATGCCGTCAATTGTCCAAGGCCATGCTATACCCTTATTGTAATGCATAATGATTTGGATCGAGCTATATTGACCGTCTGAAGCACAATTTCAAGAATGATGCTTCAAAAAAATGCATTCGTTGATAAAATCATTTCCTCAAACTTCACACGCGGGAGGAAATGGAAACATTTTCTCCCTTGATATATAAATAGCTATTACTAGTTTCTTCAAAGGGAAGTATGTTGTTAGGATGTTGAATCAGAATGACTATTTAATTACGATTAGTCAATAACACAAATCATTGGACTGGAATCAAACTTCTCTTGAAAATCTTGAAACTACATTGAACCTCCATTTAAATCAATGAGATGTGATAAATGTCACATAGTTGCATTCGTAATGTTGGTGTCGTTTCACTGGATAAACAGAAAGTTGTCATTTGTCGAAAAATTCAATTTTCTGTCATAGATATCCTCCAATTTTCATTTTCATAAACAAAAAAGTTTCCGGGACACTCGGTATCGAAAATTCAAATTCCTAGAAAGTAATCATCATTAATAGTGAATAAGTATTCTGGAATTTCAATGAGAAACATAAAAATATTGATAGAACATGCCCTAATCATAATAGTTTCCAAATCGAAGCTAAACATAAACTCAAGTGGCTTTACGAACACTTACCAAATCTACCAAGGTGACAACAAAACGAAAAATAAAGTGAAAACAACCAAATCAAACGAAATACAGTACATCAATATCGAAAAATTTTCTACACACATCGACATCCGAGCTATAGCCCGCGGGGTCTAAGCAAACTTGCGTCGACGACCCCGAAAGGCCGTCGGGAGAAGTCGCGATGATTTGAGGCGACCCGTTAGCTTGGATCTGTATCTTATGCGTGGGCACCATGCCCGACGAGTGCATTTTCAACACGCCCACCGAGGTACTGACATTGGCGTTCGCCGTCGCTACGGCGTTCGCTTTCTCGTCCTCCTCCGTGAAGGCGGGTAGGAGGTCCTCTCTGCCGTGGAATTTGTAGCAGTTGATGACTATCTGTCTAAGAGCGTGCGTCCAGGATATCTGTTGACAAATAGTTCGATGGATTTCTCTCAGACAAAAAAGCATTGGATCGACACCGCGATTAATTCATAAATCATTAAGAAGTAAACGCCAAACACGGATAAATGAATGAACCCGCGAATGGTGGGGATAAGTGCGGATTCATTACCACTATTACCAGAGAATTCATATTCTTCATAGATATAGGTAATAAATCAGAATTTCCATTAACGTGTTTATGTGCATTAATAAATCAACTCTCACATGTTGTAACATAATTATTCGTCATTTTGTAATATTTTCAATACTTCGAACATGCTTCTCATCAACAAAAGCTAACCTTCAAACAAGACCGCCCCTGGACAAAATTTCGACGTACCTGATTACGTTATTTGTAATTAGATTTTCATTACAGATTTGACACTACCGAACCATATTTATTCACAAAATAGTTTGCTTCAGATTTATAATATTGAATAAGTTACTGAACAGCCAGAAAACCATTAATACAACAACGCTTAGTATCAACTCTTAGGGTCCAGTCGCTACTTAGTTGGTACAATAATTGCAGGTAGAGAAGGAAAAGATATGAATAAATAGATCTGATCAAACTGGATGTACTTGAATTTCATCAGATTTTGCTCTTGTTACGTGTGCCTAGAGGTACCTAAGTACTTTTCAAAAGGGAAAAAAAACTTTACAAATTTTCTATTATCACTGATATCATTTATTTTCATTTGTTCAAAATGATTTTGTTGCCTGTTATAACTTTAGCAAAATGTTGTAACTTCAGCAAAAATTATCATCGTGAGGAAACAAAACCTTTTGGTATGTGCGATTTTTTTTTTATATCTTCAATTGATCTGTGATATGAAATATAACCTCTATCTGTCATTGATCTTATATTGTTGATGAGTATTTAATCGTAGATATTCATATTATTTATATACTAATATTCATCTCCAGTATTAACAAACCTATAACCTCTCCCTTCTAACAAATAATACTCGTACTTTCCCTTGGTCTTTGCTCCGCCATAAAAATTCGAAATGATTGTATTCACCTTAGGGAACAAAAGGGTTTCCCCTCATTTTAGAAATTAAAAGGGCTACGAGAACGAGAGAACAGGCCGTCCCATTTTCTATGTCCTTACGGGATATCTCTCTTATTTTTGAAGATAGAGATTTGCGGTTTTCACGAACGTTGGCTACTTTTTTGTGAATCTCACGTACCGCAAACAAAGTGAATATCCCAGCCATCTATTTGAATTCATCAAAAATCATGAGAATTCTTGTTCAATAATGATGAGAACTTACAGCTTGCATATGATGATACATATAAATGTCAACTAGAGGTAGATAGGTTATCTACTGCTGAACAGATATAATCTTGTCCTCAATCAAAACAATAAACCACAAATAATGAAGCTAAACGTTTGAAATATCAAAACGAAATGAACATAAACACCATTAAATACTGTCTGTAGGTTAATAGAGGAGGTGGTACATTCATTTTGCTTGATTTTTTGGGATTTTCTCTCCTCGTTATTTGTAGTGAGACAAATCACATGATTTACCCCAAAATGTCACTGCGTTCAACAAATGTTTCTATCAGGGAGCCTAAAATAAGAATCCCGTACCTTGTCAGTGACACTTCGTTTGAAAAAATGTTTGAAGGATAGAAATATAGATACTTATATTGAAAAAATATCGAATTTTTACTTATTTTTGGACGTTTCGGGAATAATATCAAAATCATAAGGAAGGATGATAACAACCAAAAAAGAAAAATCAAGGAATCCGCTTGCATTCTTCTGAACGGAGACAATAGCATTGATTCCTGTTCAGTTGATATAGATAGAACATGGTATTCACTACTGAAAACTGAACATGAAAATGGTAGATTCAAGATCAATTATGATGAAAACATCCTGTAACTCATTTGTAGACTAAAATACAACATCAGTATGACACTGAGAAGTGTCAAACTATAAGCAGAGCACCACTTCCAAAGAAAAATATTTTGCATTTTCATGTTGAGAACGGGAGCAGATTCGTTCCCGAAGCGTTCAAAGATAAGTAAAATTTTGATATGTTTTCAATATAAGTATCTATATTTCTTTCCTTTAAACATTTTTTCAAACAGAGTGTCACTGACAAGCTACTGGGCAAATCATAATAATAATAATAATAATATCGACTTTATTATTTCTTGAGGAAAAACAAATACATAATTCTTTATTATTTTATAACCAAGAAATAAAGGGCGAAGTTCATTTTCTGCACTGCTAGGCATAACAGAAAATGCTCTTCCACTCAACCCTAAACAGAAACCTGTGACTGCTACATAATATTGTTACATTTTAATTCGAATACGAGCAAACAATGACATAATGGAGTGTAGTTTATTTATTCTGAGCAAGATATTAAATATATAACCTTATTTCACTCAGACAAATACTCTCTAAATTTAGATTTGAAGTTTAAAAAATTCAGTTGTTTAAATGAGGGGGGAACAGAATTATACATGTGACAAATTCGGTATCTAAAGGACTGCCTGAACATTTCTGTCCTGAATTTCGGTATCATCATCGGTATCATCTGATTTGTCTCACTACAAATATATTGAAATAATACGCATATTGACATTCGCCGTTCTGGCGCTACGATCTTAATCTCAGTCGCCTATAGACCGGATGGACGTGAATTAGCGCAAGCTCTACCAACCCACGAATCAAGAACACCCCACGCCCATATACCTACTAAACATATACGGATAACAAGGATCTCCAAGTGAAGCCAAAAAATGAAATAAATGACAGTCTGCGAGTGAAACTGTATTACAGCGCATGCGTCATCTAATAATAAGAAAAGATATCAGTTTGCAAAATTCCTTTCAGCAGGCGATGGCTTTGTAATGAACATATGAGTATTATTAAAACTTTCGTGAAATGTTCGACATAACCTAAAATTCAATGTTTATATTTTGTTATCTGAATCTGAATCCTCAGACAAGAAATCATGACCGAGACTTCACTGGAATTCATATTTGCGAAGTTTTGATGGTTTTGATGAAGCAAACAGCTTTAATTCGCGGTTTTTGGAACGAGTTTGCTGAACGTTTTTGTCTCAGAAATACCTCCAATAATGGCCAACAAGTGCAAGACATTATAAACATACAAATGTACAGCTTCCCAACAGATGCAAAATTATACGAAATGTGGCAAAACGTTACAAACATTGGGAAGCCCATTTACAAATATATATGCATGTCTGTAGCAGACACTTAGAAAAAGATTATAAAGGTAATTTCTTCCATTTTGAGAGAATATCTTTTCAGTGTTCTATGTAATGTGCTTTTCTTTCAAGTTTCAAGGGAATTCAAATACAATTGCAGAAATAGGTACATTTCCTGTGAGGCAGATTAAATACCTTCACAGAATTCACCAATTACAATGCATCAAAATGTGAAACCTGTGATCAATGAATATGAATGGGAAAGAGGAAGGTCACTTTGATACAAAACTTGAATATGTCTCTAATCATTCTTCAGCTATATCAACCAAATCATCCTCAGTGAAAGGATCATATGAATCTGATAATGACAAAGATGCTGGAAGAATATAACTCGCTTACCAGAGTGATGATGCAACTTCCACCAGGACTGATCATTGTTGTATTAGCCAATCTAATGACTTTTTTTCACTTTTTCTCTAATGATAAAAAATTCAATGAGTACCTACTCAATTTTGCTTTATTTCAACATATAAACCAGAATATGATATGATCAACACTGTGAATAATTCAAAGCTTGTAATTCTATACAAGGAATAAGAATGAAATGATTATGAAATATCTCCATTATTCCCCATCTCAAGACTTTGCTCAAGTGTGATTTCGACAGTAATGAAATTTTTTCAAATATTGTTCTTCCTGCTTCAGTGTAGAAATATATGTAGGGCACTAAATTTTTTATCTGGAAAACAAATATCAGTTACCTATTTATGGAAGTTAGAAATTACATAGAACTTATAATTTACCAAGAATTCAGAATTTTTCTTTTTCACCAACAGCATGATCAATTTTTTAGGAAATGCAACAGTTTCTTCAATCTTTGTCTTCCTTTGATTGTAAAAGCTAGTAAGTATAGTGCTGTAGGCTTTGCTTCATACATCACATCTATGCCTGACTTTCTTCACCACTTGTTTGGGTGTGAGCTTCACAACTGAATTCTTCCAGTTCTGCAGTTCTTTATGCCTACCTAAAAATGTGGTTGAAATTTCAGTAAGTAAAAGGATAAACCAAGCATAATTGACTTCATGAGGCTTCAGCATAGACAAACCAAAGTTTCTCTATGAGCTTAGAGTTTCAAGGCAGCAGAAGTTTGTACAACCATCAAGTTTCTGTATACTTTTCACTTCACCAAATTAACATTGTTTCTTGCTTTGTATACCTGGTCTTCCACCATCGGCCGATTTTCAAAAAGCACTCAAATCGCTGAAATTTCGAAATAAAAATGATTGGAATCGAATGTGGAATGTGGCTCTCATTGTTTTCCCCATTCCACTGACAGCTTTGACATCAATATCAATGCTTTGACGTACTTTTCCTGCTATCGAAAAAATGTTCGCGGAGGAATATTATTTTCAGAGGCATCGGTAAGAAACTTCAACAACATAATAATATATAAATAAAATTTAAATGAAATTTGTTTCCTCAAAACTGGCTTCACTTTTGACCATGGAAACATAGGATGTTATCCGTATATGTTTATTAGGTATATGCCCACGCCCCGTCCGACTCACCTTCTGTTTCTCGTCCTCGCTGCGCGCGTCCATCCTCACGTTCGCCCACGGCAGTTCCTTCGGCCACCAGGGCGGCCGCGTCGACTCCCGGCCCCACCCCGGCTTCCCCCTGCCCGTCGAGTACTTCAGCATCAGCGGGATGAACGCCCTCAGCTGCGCCTGCGTCATCTTCTCGACGGGCGTCGGGATGCCGTCGATGATCAGCGGCGGCAGCTCGAACAGCGACGGGTCCTCCTGCAGGGGCGGCGGCGCCTGGTGGGCGAGCGCGTTCTCCAGCTCCTCCATGATCATGCCGCGTAGGTTTTTTATGACGTCCTCGAGCGGTTTGGCGCCGAACACCTTGTAGCTGGTGTTCGGTTTGCCGGGGGTGGCTACGAGGACGATCGCCTGCTGGCCCACTCTGGTGGCGAACTCGTCGATGGTTTGCTGGAAGATTATCGCGTGACGAATTATCGTTCATAGCCGCTTTGTCATGTAGCATGTAAATTTTCACTACTGTATATTTTGTCTGATTCTATACTATTCTGTACTGCTGAGCACATCTGACAGGATATTTTGTCACAATGTCATGGTTAACATTTTTTAATAACATAAATTGAACTCAGTCTGTTTTATATTATTTAATTATTCTCAAACCTGATATTATGTGGATACACATCTGAGATTTCACACTGTACATAAAATAAAAATACTAGGTATATCAATAAATACGTTGATATCTCTTGCTATACCTGCTTTGTTGTGATCCAAGTAGAAGGATGATTCGGATGGTTTTTACAGGAACTTATCTGAAAGAGATGAATAATATTAAGTAATATGAAATACCATTTCAGAGACATTGTCATACTCACTTTTCACACTGCGATTTCCACTTGAAACTCCATCACAGTAAGACATTAGGTATTGGATTTTCCAGGAATGCTGAGGCGGATGGTTCCACTAGGAATTGAACATTGTGAATCAATTAACTTCGTTTGGCATTATTTTCGTGATTGATGCATTTGATAAATTCAGGTTGATGTTTTGATTTTGTTCATCAGTTATTTCGCTTCACGTCAATTAGCTGTCGGTCATGACACCATGTCAACAGTGTCAAACTTGTCATGCGCCAAACGCCGATTCGTACTGATATGTCTTCATCGCCGAACCAACTTAGCCGAGTATTCGTGAAGAAAACGGACCAAAGGTGTGACGTCATTTTAGTAATCAATTCTGATTGGTTCAGATAGACATCTGGGAAGAATCAAGTCTCTGGAGAGAGTAGCGATAACATCTTTTATTTTGGATATTCAAATGTTCCGCCAATTTGAAGAGCGGAAACTGTTAAATTGTTCTCGAAGTTTCTGGAATGTTGGAGGAGAGATTTCCTTTCCGGTCGTGAGATAAGAGCTCACTTCAGGAAATTTTTCGTGGTGGTCAAGTGCCATTTTTGTGGTGTGAACCGGCTTTTGAAGTCCTATACCGCCTAGCATTCTGGATCACATCAGGATATCCTGGATTTGTTTTCTGATCTATAAGGACTGCTGGACTCTACAGATTTTTTTCTGGTTTTGGTTCAAGAGGCAGGATCTTCATGGTTCATCATCCAGGCAGCCACGTGCCTACCTTCATCGTCATTAAGGCCAATTCAATTCCCAACCCTTTATACAAGGTGAGTCACGCATTATTTCCACGTTTTTTCTTTCTGCAGTCCAGAAATTCAGAACCTCATTTCATGAAATATTCAAGGGTTTTACTGGGAGTTCTACAAACGGGAGTTATCCTACCAGGAGCACTATTCTTCCCAGGAGTCATTGCTCTACCAGGATCTGTTATTTCTACAAGGCCTTCGGCGGCTATAAAGTAGTCTGGAATCTGGACTCTGGATATCATCCCCTGCTTGTTTCCTGATATGGATTTTCAAAGTGGAAATATGACAACTCTGTCAATGTCATCTGACATCCATGGATGTGAAGTCAGCACCCCGCTCTCCGCCAACCTTACTCTCAGCAGCTTCATCTAGTGGCACTGAAGCCATTTATTAAGGATAACTACTGGTGTAGGACACACCATACAGGTTTTTGACATGAAAATATATTTTTATTTTTCATTTTTATTCACTCATAATGCCCATTGCTAGTGTGTATAATGGACCATTTTTGAATCATAGCCAGGTCATGAATTGATGAAATCACACATGAAAGGTACATACCTCCCCTCCACATAGTATACTATGCGCTGGTAGAATTCTTCCATATTTAATATTTCTTAAATCTACAATGACTATAAAACGTCCTTACAGGAGCTCTTGAGTTTGCTGCTCAATTGGCAGAGCGTTGGGCATGTAACCCAGAGGTTGTGAGTTCGACTCTCACACGGGGCGGTGGAGTTTTTTCATTTTCCATTGTCACTCGAAATTAGGGCTTTCCATCTTCTTCATTATTATATGTATCTTTTCGGTCGAGTAACCGACAAAAATTTCCACCCACTCCTATGTATATTTTTATTGGACAATTTCTGCTTGATTGACAAGTAGATGGATGAACTATTTGTCAAATTTTTATTGGACAATTACTGCTTGGAATAACGGAAGAATGTTTCAACAAGTATTCGTTATGTAGATATATGGAATTACTCCGTCGGACGTCCCAATTGGTACATGAACTGTTATGACTTCAGAAGGAACTTCTTTAGATAATCCATATGTTCATCTAAGTAATAAGTACACGAATATTCTGCAGGGAATTAAATTTCATATTATTTCATGAGTATAACGTCTCATGGGCGTCCCAAGGACGTCCTCAGAATGTCCTAGATACGATTCGGAATGTGTCCTAAGGGACATCCATCTGTGGTATACATTGGCATCAGGACTTCAGATAGACATCTAATATGAATGTAAGGAGGACTTAGACCTCGCCGATGGTCGACTGCTCTTAGGCTATAAATACTCCGTCAATGTCCTTTACAAAAGTCCATTGGACATCCTTGGGAAACTCTTTGATGAGACCTCTTGGGAACCTTTTTCAGGGTCTATTGGGGACCCTGTACGGACCATCAACCCAACTGGATGTCCTCATCAGATATGCAAGTGCTGGTCCTAGGGAGACCCAAATTAATTCAAATTCAAAAATAATTCGTACATCCCTGGGACATCCTATGGATATCCTTCAGCATTGCATAACTAGAGGACATCTAACAAACCTCTTATTCAAGAATCGAAAAAAAAAGGAACGACCTCACCATTTTTTAGTCTCAATTGTTTTCTGCGAGGAGTATTTCCACCAAATAAGCCCCCATAACACCTTCCATGACAACCGAATATTTTCGGAAAAGTTACTTGACCCCTTCTTCCACTTGCCCCTTCAATTGCTCATCAAGCTAGTTCCTCAATTTTTCCAAATGAAAACGAGTCACATATATCAAATCTTCTTGCTTGAACGTCTTTTTTCCATTTTTCACTTGGCAGTGACCCATTTGTACACTTTCCCAGGAACGGGCGATCACTTATTTTTTCTCAGCGACTGAAACCATGACGCTTCGGGCTGATATGAAGATCTGATTGAAATAGCATCGGCTTTCACCTGTTGAACCGTATTTCCGTACCCGTAATTCAAAAGCCCTTGGTGAACTTATTTTCTCACTTTTTCGAAAACAATGCCTTCACTGGGCAGGGGCTATCCCACATCTGATATTGGATTCTCATTGATAGAAACGCATTTGAATTACATTGCAAACAAACCACCGCTGATGAGCAGACTTAAAAGTATCAATCAAAATCACATGACAACTAATAAACAAAATACAAACAGCAATCACTACAAGCGTACAAGCTACTTTGATAGAAAGTGTATTCAAAACCGAATTGAGAAAAGAACAAGCATTCCTTGGCAGGTCTTTCTACTTTGCCATCCCGTTAATGAATGCCCTGCCTCCTGTCCCCTCATCATACACCGGCCACGTTCTGCCAACTTAATATTCCTAAAAATACGTTCTTTTCTATTCATAGACTAACCATGGTTCATCTTCAACAGGGTCATAACTTAAATAATTTATAATAACTCATAGTGAAAATAGCAAGAGATACAGTTCTTTCCAATAAAATCTAACAGCGCTGACATATTTTAGGGTTTAGTGATCAGTGGTTATTCCATCATAAGTGATTGTCAATCATTATGCCTAGGTACCTGATATGTTCTGGTTTCTAAAATTAAACAACTTTGTCATTTTGTTTCTATTCTGAGATGCATAGATTCCAATTAGACTGTCTTGAAGTTATCTATATTCTTTCAAAATTTAAGTAGAATCAGAAAACATTTCAGACAAAAGTTGTCAATTTTGTCAATTCTTCAATACTGAATAAAGCCCATGTGGGCCTTCCTGGTACCTATTTTCATCATTTTTACACATAACATGGGGCTTTTGGCCCCTTAACCTTCAGAGCCAGTAAACCTGCACCCCTATGGATATTTGGGCGTTCATACCATACTCAGACTATGGATCAGACCGTGGTCCACGTAGTCTCATTTAAAATGAGGCCAAGCATGGTCTAAATCGTTCAGTCCGTTATTTCCGTCAGAAAAACGTCAGTTATATTGGACATGAATTTATGACATGCAAATGCATTTGAATTTGAACGAATCTGTTCGCCCGTGAGATAACATGATGGCCATCATGTTCAAGAGATATTGCTTTGTGCCGCAGTGTGAACAGTATAAAGACACAAAATGTATTGATACACAGCTTTTCAACCAGATGCAAAATCATACAAAATGTGGCAGAACATATTATCAATAAATGGGGATAGCCCATTCCCAAATAATGTACGTGTCTGTAGCAGATACTTCTTAGAAACAGATATCAAGGTCATTTTTTCATCTATTCAGTGTTTAGTATAATGTTCTTTTCTTTCAGAGGAAAACGATTCCAAATGTTTATTTTTTTGAAGCAGATACAATATCCTCACAGAATTCACGGATTATGCAGTGCACCAAAATGTAAAACCTGTGATTAATGGATCTTAATGAAAATAAGAGTAGTCATTTTGATACAAAACATAAATATGCCTTCAATCATTCTCCAATGTATATCAACTAACTTATCCTCAGTAATAGGAATTAATCTAATTATGACAAAGATGCTGATGAAACTTTCACCAGGACCCATCATTATTGATGTGAACATGCCAATGAATTTTCCATGTGGAAGACTATCCATTGTGATTTCAGTAGCAAATGAATTTTTCATACTTCTTCAGTAATAATAAATAATACAACACCTAATTTTGTTTTATTCCAACATAATCTAGAATATTATTGACACTATGATATAATAGATTTTTGCAAATTCTTCATCAAAATCGATGCTGCTGTGAAAAGAGGGTCTGTTGCAGAAGAATGCAATATACACAATAATGAATATATTGGGGACTTTGCTCTTCAGATTCTTGATGGTACCTAATGAAAACTTCTGCTCTGTTGTGAGAACAAATAGCATCAATTATTTATGAAAATTAGAAATTAATCAGACTCACAATTTACCAAGTGTTCAAATTTCTTTTCATCAACAGCATTATTAGTTTTGTAGGAAAACACAACAGTTTCTTCAATCCTTGTCTTCATTGGTAAAAGATATAGTTGAAGGCTCTAGTTCATACATTGCCAGCTATACCAGAACAAACTACATGCCCAATTGTTTGCTGGTAGGCTTCATTTTCAGAGCAGCAGAAGTTTGTATAACCTGCCCAATGATCTCAAGTCTCTGTACACTTTCCACTTGACACAAATAATATTTCCAGCATGGTATACCTGTTCACCATTCACCATTGGCTGATATCTATTATCAATATATTCATGAATGTCCACTGAATTGATTTCAACAAGCACCATGGTTCAAAAATCACTCTAACCACTAAATAAAAATGAAATTATCACATCAGATTGAGGTTCTCATGACATCTCTGACAGATACTATATACAAAATACAAATACAAATGCATGGAGTGATGTCATTGAGAGACCCCTATGCTTGTTGTGGTCCTACTATATGGTGGTCCAGACCTGCTGCTGAAGGTAGCCTTGATCTTGATATTTGAAAAATAAATACTCAAGAACACCTGTCAGAAATGTCAGTAAAAGAAGAATATGAGCACATGAGATTGGTGATTCACTGGACTAAAAAATAGAGAAAAGAACTCACCCTCAGTTTCCTCAGCAGTCTGTTTTGCTGTCTTTTTCGTATAGAAGGGTTTGTTTCAAATGAGTGGGGTCGTTTCCTTTTCTTTGAAGAGACTATAGCAGCAGCAGCAGCCACACCAACAGGTCCTAAAAAAATAGATTTTTAACAAGTGTCTCCCTGGAAACACAACTCATTACTATATTCCCTACACATTCAATAATATTAATACCTGCAGCAGCAAGTTGAGCTGTGACTTCGTCTCCCATGGCAGCTGCCATCAGATCAGATCCCTCCTCATACCCAGATCCAGGTGATGAGGGACAATTATCATCATCATCGGATGCTACCGACATGCCTCCAGGGGAACCCACCACCATGGTGATCTGCTCTGTACTACTCTGGTTGCCGTTCGAATTATTCATCATCAAGACCATTCAGCCGTACCATGAAAGACAGGCCCCCTATGTTCAATGAAAAATTATGAGATACTCAAAACATGCTTCATTTATTGTTTGTTGTTCATTTAAAGTTTTCATCAAGCCTTATATTCATGGTCAGATGAATGAATCATTGTAGAATTAATCAAAAAATTTAAAAAAGTCTTAATAAAACTCCTCTATAAAAACCTTCCCTAAAAATTAGGTGGCCATACCATTGCATTTTTTGACCATGTGCAATGTTGAAAAAAGAAACGTCCACCAGTCCCTGAAATGTCGTTTTTTATAGATTTGAAATGCTCTTCAGAAAAATATTTAGTTTTCTCAAATACTTTCCAATAGTAAATTCAAAATTTCATTCAGGAGAGTATAATACAGGGTGGGACATTAAATATTGCTCAAATGGAGTCTGAAAATCTACATCTCTTTATAGAAAACAGGTCTGGAAAAATGTGCTCTTGTTCCCTATTGAACAGATGTATCAATTTCCAGCAAAATTCAAAAATATTGTTACATCTCACATATTATGCATAACATATAGCAATGAATAGTACTGGATATGGAGAAAAATGCACAAAAATTGGTCGGTTCTCATCATAATTTCTTATTTTATATTCTATGAAACTGTTTGGTGAAAAGAAAGAAGTTGATTCATTTTATAGTCACTGATTTGAAAATTGGCACCGTTTTGGGAGATATTTGTTATCCACAGATTTTCTTGACAATCATCAAAAACCTGCCCTAGAATTGATTCCAAATCAGCATAATCATAAGAACTATTCTCATGAGTTTTACAACATAACTTCACTTTGTAATTCAGGTAAATGTTTTTATTGCATCCATTATTCATCCATTATTCATCCATCATTTTATGAAAATATGAATAAACATACTTTTTCACTTGTGTGGACTGCAATTTTAAATATCTTATACCTAGTGCAATTTGTTGAATGTTATTCCAGTCATAAGCAAACTGCAAAATTGTTTGAATGTTTGATGATAAAAAAATTGTATGGTACATACCTAATACAGATTAAAAAGAACATGCTACCAGAAGACAAACTGAGATTAAAAAACATTATACATCAACATTATCAAAAGAAAAACAGTTACATGATGACAATATCTATAAATATTGATATACTTTTCACAAACTTGATTACCTATGTTGCAGAAAATTTAGTCCTAACATATATTTTAATAGGTATAATGTATATTCCAATCTAATAGTGTTACAATTTGTATCAAGTACTACCTATTACCAGGCATGGATCTACTTAATGATATATGATTTATGGAATATGCAACTGGGGAAAAAGCATACTTAAGAACTTTCAAAAATACATTGGGCATTGGGGTAGTGGTAACAATTGTAGGAAGTTTTTAGTAATAAGTGGGGTTAGGTTGAGCGGTTTTGAACAAAAATACATAAAAGTATGTTTCTTACATCAACAGTTTTGAGTAGATTAGTTATCCATTCGATGTTAAAAATATGTTTATATACTTTTCTAATTATATGCATGAACATGGATATTGGAATATATAAATGCCATGTACAAAATCAATAATTGATGTAGGTATGTAATGCTACCCCCTTACCCCTTACCGAAAATATGTTTTGGGATAGGTTCTCATTTCGAAATTGAAAACTACCGGAAACATAATCAAAATTTTGGCACGAATTTTCATTTCTTGTTTTGGCCAAATTTTTTAAACGAATGCACATGAACATATTTAGGATTTGCGCAAAAGGGTATATGAAGGTTTGGCGCGATTCATCATGGAAGATTGTAGAATATTATCCAATCGGTAATATGGCTACCATATAATAACTAAAATCAGGTATATTATGATATCAAGCGATTGGAGGTTATTTCATTTAATAGCAGATAATTCAAGCATTAACGTGATCTTTAGAATATTATTATTGAAAAAAGTGAATCGCGCGTTGACCAGGAATGGAGCAGGCCCAGTTAAAATTATTAGTACGTCTGCGTACGCACCTGCGTGAATCTTGCACATTTAACACAAAAACATGATTGTAAGCACTGTTTCACAAATTTGTTATTTTTGGGAGATTGTCTCGCGTTCTTAACACTTAACACAATATTTTTCCATGGGTAAATATTACGAATACACCCTGACAGATAGGTTTACGTCACGTTAGCTGTTATCGATCGATTTGGTCACCATTTGTAATACCCAACATTATTTTCTTGTTCAGCCATATTTTACGAGCCTGCGCAAAAAGGATTGTGGGAAAATTTGAGTTGTGAATTATTTTTCCGATATATAAGGATTTCTCTATAAAACAATATCAATAGATGTTCTGAAATAATTTCAGCTTGATTTTGCCAATTTCAACTCACCAGCTATAGAAATGTGGAAAGAAGAAGCCATGAAGCTATCAGCTAAAAATTTAACAATATAAAATATGAGAATAATTTCTAGCGACATCTATCATTCAGAAGATATTATAAATTATATAGAGCCCTGTAAATGATTCACTAGAGAGTACCCAATACAGTGACTCAAGGTTGGTAGAACTGATGATTATTTTGTACAAATTATCATCAGCTCTACCAACCTTGCAGTGACTCAGGAGCATATAAAATAAATTAACTACCTGTAGTCGTAGATATATGCTCTGAAGTTACTGTAGGTAGCGTCATCTAGGTATTTCCTGTAACATCCGTAAATGACAGCTGAATGACATCATGATTGACGATGGACAGCAATCAAGGATTGACAGCAATGACCAGTGACGGATGTATCAGACATTTAATCATCATATATTCACAACAAAGTGTTGTATTTGAAAATGTTGTAATTATGAATAAATCATAATGAAGAAAACGAAATAAAGTGAAATATATTATATTGAACGATGTAATATCTTACATTTCCTATGTCAAATGAGCTAGTGCTCACGACGCTCACGGCTCACGTGCTAGCAGATAATATCATGGATCATGGAATGTGGCCGATAGTGATTCATGGATTCTCTTAGGATCGAGATCTATTTGAGAATGTTCAATGTATTAATAATTAAACCACATAAAACTACATTCATAACCTGTCAGAATGAAGCCAACTACCCTCCTCATTTCTACTCCAAGACCAACCGAGCCAAGACGACAAGCGTCTAGTCACAGATTAACAAACGTTTGTTAATCTGTGGTCTAGTCACCGAACATAAACAGTTTATGTTATGTCATTGAACTCAATATAAACAACTATTTGTGTTATATACTGTCTGTAGGTTAATCGAGGAGGTGGTATATTCAAAAAATTTGGAATAATGAATATTTGTGTTATGTTCGGTGGTCTGTCTAGTAGACCAGCGAATCTTTCAAACCTCAAGGTTGTCAGAAGGTTATTCGTGTTCATACGAATTATAATAAGGTAATGAAAGGAAGAAAAATATATCTTCTGCATGAAAAAGGAAAGTACTTTCAACCTAACTGCTCCTGAATGAACCTTTTTTATGAAGAGTATATTTTTGAAAAATCAATTGAGTGAAAAATATCTAAGAAAAATGACGCCTTGCACTCATTGAACCCCAGTCACCACTGTGGAAGTCAGATACACTCACCACTCTCGTAGTTTCTCAATATAAAGAAGTCAAATATATCATGGTTGTGGGTGACGTCACTTGACCTCGTTGTTTGAAGATTCACTGATCTAGCTAGAGTCGCTAGACGCTTGTGAAATTTCTTAGATGTACCCAGTCGGGTTAGGGTTGGCATTTCCGGGAATTAAAAGGAAGTCAGATACACAGTCTACTGAGCTATCGTCTTACTCAAAATATCTTACTATGAAGAAAGAAGAAATATCTCTTCATCGTACAATAATTAGACGAGCTTGTTGAAATTAGCGTCAAGGAGTGGATCTGAATAGTATTTTAAATCGACTATTTCCGCAGTCTGCTGATCAAACTGAACGCCACATGAAAGCGTGAGTTATTCGAATACTTTTTCGAGGTGGGGAAAAAAGGATACCAATATACCTGTTCCACTGACAAGAATATAAAAGGTCTGTTCGCTGTGCTGGGACGGGAAGTGAAGGATGGAAACAGCCATATAAGTTCGACAAGTTTCGTATTATTTTTTCCCTACGTCGGCATCAACGCCTATTGGTCGATTTCGTTACCTATAGATACAGAAGTTGGTCCCGCTTTGAGGACAGCTATGCTTCATATATGAGTAGTAGATATATGGTTTCCGCACGGATTATTTGTTGCGTCTCTTTTGCGTCCTGTCTCTAGATGCCTCTTATCAGCTATCATTGAATTCGTGCATCATCAACGACATTCTTCTGTTTCTGGATGTATGATAAATTGATATTCATCATACACATCGTTGACAGTCTAGTTCAACTTCATTATGAGATTCGAAACGCATTTTAAAATTCGTCAAGAAATTGTCCAAGGTTAGTAGAAATGATGATAATTTTATCATCAGTTCTACCAACCTTGGAAATTATCCATCGTTCACGCCATCTATCATCGAATATGAGAACCCCACGTTCCGAACTGGCATTCAACTGGGAGGGGGGGGGGTGTGAATGATTTTTCTGGAAATTCGTGAGACACGTCAACGTTCAAATGTATTTACCTACATTGGGCGAACAATATGGAGAATATAACCCTTCAAGGGTAGCAGGAATCTACCCCAACATGTTTTTTTCAAATGCAATCCTATGGCTTGCCACCCCTCATTGGAAAGCTGGTTGAAAGAGGAATCCAGCGTACTGATCATATTTCAGTTTGCAGTACGTTCGGGGGTCGCATAAAATCAAGATATAATTTCGAAGTTTAATATATTGTCAACGTACTCTCATCAAAATTTCGACTTTTTGTGTCAGCAGTGATTTTTAGGGCATTTCAACCCGTTTGCAATAATACTTGGTTTCGAACTGTGAATATGACAATAAAAACTAAATTTCCTATTGTGGCTCTATAAAAACACTGGAATACAATAGCAGGTAGCAGCTGTGACAAAAAATTTCCATCAATTATTCAACACACATTCTAAGCCATATCGATACGTTGAAGAAAAAAAGAATTTTAAAATCACATTCCAATTTTGTGCAACCTTTAAACGAATGACAAATCAAAATTCAAATAGTACGCTGGATTCCTTTTTCCACCAGCTTTTTAACGAGGGGTCACAAGCCATATAGGGCTATATTTGAAAAAATCATGTTGAGGGTGGTTTCAGCTACCCCTGGAGAGATATATATTCTCGATATTGCTTGCAAAAGGTAGGTTATCACATTGAATCGTTGACGTATGCTGGGAATTTTTAGAAAAAATATTCACCTCCCCCCTAACGAATTTATTCTAGTTAAAGTCTTCACGACACTGTATAAATCTTCCTTGGTCGGGAGAAAATTCAGAGAGATCTCCCGATATATCCAATGAACTCAATAGGTGTTTATATTAATCTCGTATTTTATTGCTCAAATCAATAAGGCACAAATTTTAAAACTTCTATATGTCATTATCGTCAAAGCCAACATCTCATCAAAAAATATCAAAATATCAATGCTATAAACGGTAACTAAACAACATAAAAACACCCTAAACAACTAAACTTGCTCATCTACGACATCTTAAATTTGTTTATTGTCTACCAATCTTCCTGAATGTGTGAAATCAAAGAATAGTAGGTTCCTCTTTGGTGAAATCATCTGACCTCAACATAACATAACCCTTACATTTTTTCTTATATCATCTGAAATATTTTCAAAACATAAGCTATTCGAAATAGTAAAAGGAACTCCATATCACATGAATCTATGCTCATACATTGGTTGACCATATGGTATCTATCTCAGACGAATCTATTCAATCCATTGCCATTGCCACTGCCAGTAACGCGGCAACACAGTTTTCATTTGAAATCGAAAGTCATATTACATTACGTTACGTACCTATTGCATTGACGATTGCGCAAGGTATTGCGTATGCATCATGTACGCATGCTATGCATGTAAATCCTTGTCAGATGTCAGTCAGTATGATGTCAGTACTGTCAGTACAGTGACACTGTAGTGCGAATGCCAAAATATAAAGGGACCATGCATTTAATGGTTGCTATTTGCTATATTTATTCGATCAAGTTTTTAGGTTTTGGCATATGAATGTGTATTAAAAAAATTATGGATTTTATTAAAAAAATATGATATGAGTAGCATTGATGTTGAAGAAATTTTAAGACGACTATCGGCCAAATTCAATCGAATATTTTGTGACAGAGAATTTGTTTGTTGTGTAAACGAAGATCTTCAAGTCCTTCTCAGAAACAAAAATAAATGCTGGTGAGTTCATTTTTATATCTTCCTTTCATAAGTATTGTAAACGTAATCGATTTCCCACTTGTATTCACATGAACATGCGGAAAAGGAATTTAATTCAAACTGTAGTGAAAGAGAAAGTTCCAGTGACTTCACCTATTATGTAAATTCTGATTTTACTTTCATTGGCGTTTACTTTCAGTGTTGTGGTCTTTCCTGTGCTGGGACCAAACTATCTGAAGGCAGTAAGATATCAGGCAAAGATTTTTGACCTTTCAGTGTTCACCTTGGGTTCTGAGCAAATCTGTTCTATTGCAGTATGCCACACAGAACATTTGATGTGAGTATTAGTTCCTTACTGATTATATATTCTCTGAATTTTATCATTTGAAGAAAATTTGAGGAATCTGAGGAACAGATAATGCCCAAAAGGGAACAAGAAGTTGGAGGTAGCAAATTGAGAAAGAAAAGACCAGAGCGCCCTTTGTATGTACCTCCTGCACAGAGAAGAGTGCCTGCTCATGAGATACCAGTACAAAATAATGTCAAAGCTGATTTTGACAATAATGTGAAAATCAAAAAAAATATTTCTACAATAAGGAAGGAAACCACAGAGAAAACAAAAGTGAAAACTATAAATGAGGATAAGAATGAAAATTTCACAAATATTGATGCAAAATATTTTGAAAGCTATGCTCTTGAGAAAAGTTTTAATGATTTATCAATGGATTCATTTCTCCAGTGGAAATATGAGTTGTCTGAAGCTGTTATGAATTCTGTACATTTCACCATCTGGCAAACCTTCAGGCACTGTTTGAGGAAATGGAGCCTATACAGTTGTCCAAATCCAAAAGTATTGTATGTTTTAAGAAATCACTATTGTTTGTGGCAACCAGCAATGAGTATTAGACACAGTGGATATGAAAGGTGTGCCAATGTTACAGTTATTCCTTCCATGAATTTTGAATTATTTGATATTCAGGTGAGCATTTTCTATAGATTCATATAGATTCATCAAATTGGTTTTATTGATGAGAATTTGTCAAATGGATTGTTAGGTATGCCACTGACTGGTCACCTTCATCTAGCTAGCCTTGATAATAATTTAAGGGTAATTCATTTCCCCATTGCTGAATTTGTTGCTCTTCAATTCATAAAAAAAACATGATTTCTGCTAGCTTAACATTAAGTTAGACAAACCACTCCATAAAAAGGTTCAATTACAAAACTGATCATGCCATAATTTGCTTGATAATTTGGTGCTAATTTAAGGCCTGATTCTAGCCTATTGTTGATTTTTTGTTCATTGAAAAAAAAATAGTGGGTTTTGTTAGCTCAACCATTAACATGCAGAACCAAATCTTCAATAGATGATGTTTACTATAATTTAGGGTTGAGCCTATCATCCATTTTTTTGTTCCTTGTTTTAACTTGGACATGACAAACCACTGGAAATAACAAAAAAATTCAATCACAAAACTGATTATACCATAATTTAAGGCTAATTTGAGGTTCCTATTGCTGATTGTTTGGCACATAGTTTTTTCAAAAAGTCATGGGTTTTGCTAGTTTAACAAATCTTGATTGAAGAGAATTCAAGGATATTAAGTATATAATAATTCAAGTCTACTTTGAGGCTTTTTGTTGAGCCTATCATAGATTTTTTTGTTGATTGTTTCCTGCAAAATTATTCACAAATTCAACATCAACAAAAATGAAAAAAATCAATCACAAAACTGTTTGTATCATAATTGAAGGCTAATTTGTGGCTTCAATCTTATACTGCCAAATTTTGCAAGCATTGTTTTTTCAATAAATCATGGGTTTTGTTAGTTTAATGGTCAAGCTACCAGAACCAAATCAAGAATCCAGGGAATATAAGGATATTGAGTATACAATAATTTGAGGCTCTTTGCTAAGCTTATCATCGATTTTTTGATAATCATTTTCTGTAAAAGTTTTAACAAATTCAACACATTGTTATGTTATTCAAGTGAAGAAGCAAACACTGACACCATTTATTTTCAAACTGATTTATTTTACTTGAACAACAAACTCATAACTACTATTTATTTTGAACGGTTTAAAACACGCGGTATATACAACTGTCTCTTTGACACTCACTGATTGTCTCACTGACGGCTGCTGTCCGGCTCATTCTGAGTTGCCCTGGTGAGCTATGATTTGTCAAATGTTTTCGATCACCTTTCGTACCCTTCCATTGTTCTAGAAAATTCTTAAAACATTATCTCTTTCTTTAACAGTTCCATTGATTGTTTCTAGAAGCTTCTAGATTGCTTTGAGAATCTTCTATCGCTAAGATACATATTGGGTGGTCGGATATATGCTGATAGATGTTAGAACTATTGGGATGTTGATAAGAATAATCTGCTATGTGTGGTACAGGAAGATCGTTGTACCCCTGCCTTCTTTATGATGTTTCAGCCCCTCCTTATTTTCCTGATTACTATCTTCTCGCTCATCTTCTTAAACGAAGTTCTGGCCCTGGCACCCCAAAACGACTGATGAGTTAATTCATTGGGACATGGGCGACGGCCTGCTGGTTAGAGATCGTATACTCTTCCACCGTCCTGTTGAAGTAGTCCAAGCAGACAAGAATGTATTTATTTCCATTATCGGTCACTCGAAATGGCCTAGCAATATCTATGGCAATCCTCTCGAAAGGGCTTCCAACATTGTACTGTCTCACGGGGGCCCTTGGTTTACGACGAGGCCCATTGCTGGCAAAGCATGCGGTGCATTTACGGCACCACTCGCTGACGTCGTCACTGCAGTTCACCCAATAGAACCGCTCACGTACCCGCTGCAGTGACTTCTTCACTCCTAAGATGTCCCCCTGAACCCCTGAAGTTCCATCATGTACATGTATATATCCGAGTACTTCCGACGCTCGGCTCCTAGGAATTATTACTAACTGCATCCGAATATTCGACAACGGTGGTTTGGCAGAGGGTTGCTTCCTTATCCTCGGAATGACTACAATGTGAGCACTCAGGTGGGCATTGCCTTCTGGACAATGCATCTGCATTCTTATGGCTTGTCCCAACTCAGTGTGCTCTCTCGAAGTCATATTCCTGGAGCCACTAGATCCAACCAGCCACTTGGACCTTGTGGTTCTTGAAATTCAGGAGCCACTTCAATGCAGTGTGGTCCGTTCTGAGTAGAAATTTCCAGCCATAGAGGTATTTGTAGAAGTGCTCCGCTGATTTGACCATAGACAAAAGTTTCCACCTGTTAACGCAAGAGTTTCTTACTGCCTTCGATAGCACCTTGCTGAAGTAACCGATGACTCGCTCTTGCCTATCTTGATCTGCGAAAGGACTCCTCCAATGCCGATATTGCTGGCATCTGCGTCAAAAATTAATTGTCCCTGTGGAAGCGGATATCCTAGAATCTGTGTCAGCGTTCCTACAGAGCATCAAGGGCGGCCTGGCATTCCTGGTTCCAGTAGTACAGTCGTGCGCTTCCTTCGTGAGACGAGTCAGTTGCTTTGTGATGATCCGAAAACATTCGAACATTTTTTGTATCGCTTGAAGCGCACGATAGTAAGTTGAGAGTGAGGAAGCTCCTGAGTTGGTGCTTATCTTCTGGTACTGGCCATTGCTTGACTGCTCGTACGACGTGTCCCAAGTAGCTAACCCGTTTCTGCAGCAGATGATATTTCTTCACATTAAGCTTGAGGTTTGCAGCCTTTAGTCCCTTGAAAACCTCCTCTTGGTTAGACAGATGTTCTTCAAAAGATTTACGGACTACAATGATGTCATCCAAATAAACCAGGCATGTCTTCCGGGAGAGTCCTCTCAATACATTCTCCATGATTCGTTAAAAGGTGACAGGAGCATTGCAGAGTCCAAAAGGCATAACCTTGAATTGCCAAAGCCCAGAGCCGATGGTGAATATTGTCTTCTCTTTGTCTGCTGGGTCCATTTCCACTTGCCAATATCCATTGTTCAGGACCAAAGTGGAGAAAAGAAAGAGATAACTGTCTTTCTTCGCTACGTTGTTCAACCGGCGATAGTCCACGTAGAACCTAGGATCACTGGTGGAGCCCAAGGACTATTGGATTGCTCGATTACCCCGTCCAGTTCCATGTCCTGGATGATCTCGTCTGCAATTTCTCTCTTGGCCTGTGGAAATCTCCGGGCTTGTTGACGAATCGGTTCGTTCTGGCCATCTACGTAGACGCTGTTGTTATCACGCCTTAACGATGCCACGAAGATGAGAGGGTCTTGAGAATGACGGGTCGAAGCTGCTTCCTCGAGGTCAACCCGCTTTTTCCTGCGAAAGCGAGGAAGATGGTCCTTCCTCAGCAACCTGTTTGGCACACTTACAAGCTCTCTTCGCAATTCTAACAACATGTTGGTCTCTTCTTCTTATCCCAGAGGTCCTTGATAACGTTGGTTATCCTTATCCCAGAGGTCCTTGATAACGTTGGTTATCGTATGGCTTCAGTTGGATCTTGCTTGTAGTTCTCGACTATGTCTTCTGTCATTCATGGCTCGGACTTACGCGGATCCTACTGCCGCGGCATCGATCTCGAGTGCAGCTGCCAGAGCAATTTCGAAATCTCGCAATCCATCCACGTACGTTTGAACTGCTGAACGAGCTATTTGTTGCACATTTGTGAAAAGGCCACAAAATGTTAAAAATTTACCAATTAAAAGCCTCAAGTGTGCTCTGAAACAATTGAAGACAGTTTACTCCTTTCGTGATGACATAAGAGATCATGTATACATTCTGGGTACATCTTTGTACTGAATTAAAAATTAGTAAATATTGTCTCACATGTCTCAAACTTGATTGTCAATCACTAATTTATTAATTTTGAAGTCTTTTTGCCAATGACAAATTATATTTTTGTCTGCATTGTTCCATGCCACCATTGGCCATTGTAATTCGATTATAACAAGATTAAATAAAGATGTATCTATCTAAAGTGGTGTGTGACGTTAGTAACAAAGCCTACACATAACACCTATGTCTTCAAAGACCTCTTGTGAGGTCAATTACCGCACTAACAAAGTACATCTACTACTACTACACATCTACTACTATACGTTACTACTCCTGTTTATTCTTATTTGTTTTGTTTTAGTGCAATGATAATAGGAAAATGATTTCAATATTAGTAAAACCAATCTTCCAGAAAACATATGAAGTTATGTTGAAGGATATTGATGTATTTTGTGATTTTAATGTGTTGTGGATTAGAAATGGGATTTTAGATGTTGAGTCATTGAATTCGTGTGGTGAATTTTATTATTTAATCAGAAACAGTCCTGAGTGCAATGATGTCCTCATGGAGAAAATATTCAATGTAAGTAGATAAATATTATGATAATATATTTTCATAACCTCCATTATAGGGCTTCATGTTATTTGTTTCGGATATAGGGTGATTTACAGTCACACGCTCAAAAATCCAACCATATTTTTTCAACGGTTTAGTCTAATCAGCTCAAATTCGGCTTATAATAAGATTCACGTACCTACATACTTGAAATACATTCAGGAGCGACTAAGAGAAATGTATTGAATCCAATTCATTGAGTGTGGTCGATACAGAGCAGATACTTTGATGTCACCGATAAATATCTCTATGTCTTCTCATGGGATTCTATCTAGAAAATTTTCAAAATATTTTAGAAATTGGTTAACTGCTATGATTGGGGATCTGTAACATGGCATAATCTGAAAGGTTATATCATTAATAATTGATTCTCAAGGTCAGGTTACTGATTGTTACATTTGATATGGGTAGGTTTGTAACTTCTATCTCAAACTGAATATGTTCCTTGAAATAAATTACTTAACCCTCACATTTGTTATTTTCGCTACTATTAATAATATGTATACTGGCCTTGCAAGAATAATTTTCCATTAGAGAAACGATTCATGACCCTCTTTGCCACACGTACTCGGGTCTGGCACGTGTGGCAAACGACAATCCCTTCTGTCGGGCGGGTCTTATCGACGCGTATGGCAACGTCGCTGCCCATGCACATGGTTTCTCTATAGGAAAATAATTCTTGCCAGGCGTGTAAAACCCAAGAATTGTTAGATCGTCAAGTTGAACAAGGAACAAGGGTATGGGTTTCCCCTAGTATTATTATATTTAGGTTGTTCAAGTCAAAAGTTTCCTGAAACACTAAGAGTTTTTTTGCACTTCTAATATTTCAGTGTAATATTTAAATTTTATTTTTATTGTGATAGTTTAAAAATGCACGACACTGTGCAAAATGAAGTTCGTGTCTGAAAGTGATCATATAGCTGAGATATAGAGGGAGGGCCGTTTTGTGATATAAGATTAATTGAAAAAAGCAGGGTTGGCACGAATTAATTCATATGAATTAAGTCAGTGATTTAATTCGTGAATTAATTCAAATGACTTTTTTCAATTAAGTCGTGAATTAATTCAAAATTTATCAAATGGGAACAAATCGCATTATTACCTTCAATTCAAACTAGTTTAAAATGAAATATCCGATGGCATCTGACAACCGTGAAGCACCACACGCGGAAAACAAAATTTTTTTAAGAGCCGCTTTACAGTTTACAATATTTCATTGCATGCAATTGATTGCTCCAATTCATATTTCCGGCAAAAATAATATGTAGGCTGTTCAACACTGAATCGGAATTACCGGCTTGCAATGTCTTTTTGTCATAGATTCTGTGTATTACTTCTCACCGAGTTTTGAGTTGGGTCAAGAGTTGGGTAAAAGAAAACATGAGAAAGGCAAGAAAAGTAAGATCCAACGTGTATCTAATGATGCGTGAAATTCCGAAAATCTAACATGTCACCACTAGAATTGCATCAGTAATACAAATTACCACAATACAAATTAATATGTCCGGACTCATTTCTTGCAATGCATCGAAAAATTGCTTTCCAAGGTGACACCAATCCGTAGGCGCGCCATGGGTATTGCTGCATTTTATCGAAAATAACTGTAAAGCGCCTCTATAATGAAGATTGTGAATGAGTAATATAATTTGCATAAACATCATTTTTCATTCAATCAATAGTCTCAGTTTATATTGCAAAAATTGCATATTTTAAGTATTTTATTGTCACGCTTAGAGATTTTTAACGGAAATAAAAACTTATTTTTTTCGATGTTCTTGTATTTTGTTTAAGTAAATAGAATTTGATTTGTTCTCAAATGAATTAATTCAAAAAAGTCCGAATTAATTCAAGAAGTCAGACTTTTTTGACTTTTTTATAAAACTCATGACTTATTCCAACCCTGGAAAAAAGTCAATTTTGTGGTAGCGATCATCTTGTATATTGGAGCAGATAATTTTCCATAGCTCACAGTCAATAATTCTAGATTCACAATGAGGGATTTTGGTGAATTTCAAAAAATTGGACAACAAATATGGTGGCTCACACTCACATTTAATCAAATGCTGTGGATCCGAATATCATGAAAATGTATAAACGGTACGATAGTGCCATCAAAAATGTTGCTGAGAATGTCTAGAATCTAGACCATATAGTTGGAGTATAGGACGACAAAATTTTCCTAGTTCGGCCGAGTATTTTTGTATTTCGTACACGTGGATCCGTTGAACTTCATAACTGATATTTTCAGCCATATTTGAGCTGTTTTCAGTTGAACCGTTGAAAAGATGTTGGTGCCTAAATGTGCTCCACTCTCAGGTCAAGTTTGTCCCTTTCGTCGTGGAATGACTACTTCAGAAAAAGATTCTGAGTACGCTTACCCAAACAACTGATTCTTCTTCCGGTTTGATCTTCGCAATTTTGAATCGATCAACCAATACCTAGATATTATATTTTTTCCAAAGATCTGATGATATTGAACTACTATAGAACAAGGTGTGACTTGAACCCTTGTACAATTTAAAAATGTTGATGGGATTGATCTGTAGGGCAGGGGGTTGACAGGTGGTTGAACATTTTTGCGAAAAATTGAGTTGATTTTCGAAAATGAAAATCAACCTGTCCGAGGATTCTTAAAACTATATTTCTATATATTTCTGTTATGGAGTATATACAGGGTGAATAAGTGCGAAAAACTTCAGGGGACGATTCCTTGTGATATTTTAGGAAATAAAGTTCATTTGAATATGTTTCCTAACTTGCTTTGTTTTTTGAAAAACAGGTTGTTGAAGTTGGAAGTATTAATTCTTTTTATTTATTGCCCCTCTGTATAAGCGTTCATGGTGCCAATATTCAGTATGGTTGAATGTTGAAAATTCCCCAAAATTTCAAAATGATTCTTATCGGGGATATTGAGTAATCTCAATGGGTGTCTTGAGAGCACTTACATTGAAATTTGGAATTTTTATTGTTGTGTTGTAACTAAGCGAGATATAGGGGTACAAGGCAGAAAAAAGTTGTAATTTTTATTGTTCAATCTAATGAAATTATGGAACAAAAGAAAAACATGGATACACTGATATTCACCATAAATAGCAATGCGTACAATGATATTCACCATAAATAGCAATAAATTAATCCACTGTGACGCCACTGGAAATAGTATTTTGAATGTCATTATACCAAAAGAAGCTTCAAAGTTTCATTGAAATTGATGAACAGACATTTTGAGTGATGAATATTAAAACCGATTTTTCATGGAAGTATCAATAGTCAATATCAATAGTCAAAAAGTATCTAGAAAACGATGCAAGTTAGGACACATCTTTATATGAACTTTATTTAAAAAAATTTCACAAGGAATCACCTCCTGAAGTGATTCTCGGGGAGATTCCTTGTGATATTTTAGGAAATAAAGATCTTCTTGCTTCGTTTTTGATAGAGGATGTTGAAGTTGGGAGTGATAATTTTTTTCATTTATATCCCCCCTGTATAAGCTTGTATGGTGCCGAAATTCAGTATGGTTCGCGACTGACAAAGTCCCAAAATTCCAAAGTGGCTAAAATTTTGAGTCAAATGGAAATTTTATTGTTTCATCAAAAACTAAGCGAGATACAAAAGTAACTCAGGAGATAATAATGAAGTTGTTATTACAATTGTTCAGTCTAATAAAAATATAAAACCAGTGGCGTACAATGATATTTACCATAAAATATCGATAAATTAACCCACTCACCCACTGTGCCACCACTGGAAATATTATTTTGGATCCAATAATATCAACAGACGCTCTATGTTACTATTAAGGAAATCTAAACTACCCTAAAAAAATTGGCTACAATGATTTTAATATTATTCCACTCTGCCATATGTTGTCCATCTTCAGTAAGGATATTTTCAGCTAGTTTCGATTTGTCGATGTGTCTTTTCTTTATATTGTACTTATGTTCCTTCGTCCTAACTTAAAGAATAATATTAAAAAAGAAGATAACCAGAAGAGAAAAATCTAGGAATCTGCTTGCATTCTTCTGAACGGAGACAATAGCATTGCTTCTTGTTCAGTTGATATAGACAGAACTTGGTATTCACTACTGAAATCTGAAAATGGAAATTGGAGATTCAAGATTAATTAATGAAAACATCCTGTAACTCATTTGATTGCCAACATCACCAATAGTCACTACGAACTGAAAAGTTGCCAGACAGATACGAATTTGCTATTCAAATAACCATTTTTTATGTTGGAAACGGGAGCAGATTCGGTCCCGAAATGTCCAAGGTTATGTGAAAATCTGATATTTTCTCTATATACCTACCTTTATTTCTCTTCTCCAAACCTTTTTCAATACAAATTGTCACTGACAAGCTAGTGAATTTTTCTTTTAGGCTCTCTGATAGGAAAATTCTTTAAACGCAGTGACATTTTGGGGCCAATCATCTGATTTGTCCTTACTATGGAATAATGAATGTACCACTTCCTCGATTAACCTACAGACAGTACAGTACAGTAATTCAATTTATTGAAAAGGAATATTCTCAGATATAATTATGAACATAAAAAATGGATATATTCATAAAGAAATTCGCATTCTCTATGTGCTGAAAATATCAATTCTTTTTCGGTTTATTTAACTGAAAACTACTTTCCCGGCTATGTGCCACGACGAACATTGAATTATATCTATTGAACACACACGATAAGAATTTGAAAACAAAATCTTCTGAAGTAGAGAATTTGCATTCTCCTTCATATAAAGATATGTTTATGCACCTAATATCATTCTTCAACAGAAAACAACTACTTTTCTGGCTATTTCCCGTGTCGAACATTGAATTATATCTGTTGAACATCCAAAAAGAGAGCATTAAAAATGAAAATCCCTTGAAATTGAGAATTGACATTATCTCTCAAATCGGATATAATAATATGACGTATTATGATATGAAAATGTCTGTTGAATATTCAAAATTTACGAAATATTTTGTTAATTTTGATATCAGATGTTTCTGAAGATGGACTTTTATATGTCCGAAACATGTCCCCTTGAATAATTATTACATCATTAAAAAGTGTGGAGGTGACTCGTGATATTCATTATTGACAGTTCAAATGTGACACATCAACACATCATATTTCGAAAAGTTTTTCGATGCGGAAATATACTAACACGATTTAAAATGATGATGAGAAAATATCCTTAAATTGAAGAAATAATATCGCACTCTATCATTTCCTAACAACGTGCACATGTCAACTGAGAATTTTCACAGGCAACAATTGAGACACACCAAAGTCTCCTGTGTTTATGCTAATGCACTGTATACGTTTCATAGTTGAAATTTTTTGAATCCAAATTTGGGAAACGACACTGGATTCTCAATTCGAAATAACGATGTTTGTATTGCGCCTGCTCAAACCGGAAGTCAGTTGTTTGGGTATCTACTCGAAATCTTATTCTAAAACGTTCTAAAGAACCCATGGAGATTACCCATACAGGATGTTTCTAAACTCCAGAGAAATCTCGTGAGCTTATTCCCAAGACAAAAATAAGAAAATAGTTTATATCGTGGGTCCGAAAATTCTTTTAAGCTACAGAACCCAACAGCGGTCAATTGATATTCTTAGGACATCTGATCATGTCGGGGAAACAGCTCACGAGAGATTTCCTTCGACGTTATTTAATAATAAAAAAAAAAACTGTTCTAGTCATCATTCACACCCTGTAGAATTACTATTATTGTCATGCATTGTTGCATTGAAAAGGAATAGTTTTCGAAAATGTGTGAACGTAATAATTATTTCAGTATTTGGATAGTCAACTTGACTCGGACCAAATTCCTGAAACTTCAAGTAGTCAACTTGACTCGGACCAAATTCCTGAAACTCCAAGTGATCATTTTGAACGCATTTCTTATGCAAGTGATAACACGATACCTCTATCAGTGACGAATACTGTGTCGATTGAAGAAAATTCTGTGACTGAGGAAATGAAAAAGGAGCCATTTGAATTGGAAAAATCAAATTTAGTATATACAAGTAACTCTGAGCAATTCAATGAAAGTGATATATCTTCTTTACAAACAAATAATATTATGAACAATGTTACAAATTTAAGTACCTCAAATGAAAATATGAAAAGTTCTAACGAACTGGATGAAGAGAAAGAGATAATGAGAAAAGCTAAAGAAAATATTAATCGAAAAACCCGTCCAATTATGAAATATGTTGAAGCTAACAATACATTGAAAATAGACAAAAACGAGAATGTCAATCACTGGGAAGATCTGTTTGATGAACATGGACACTTGCAAGAAGATTTACTCAAAGAGGTAAGTCTTCAAACAGACGTAATCTAATGTTATCATGACACAGTCTGAATGTATTTTGTCTGAAAACCAACTGTCAAATTACCTGTCGAAGTCTATATACAGGGTGGTTCAGATTTTTGGAAGGTGATGAAGACTCGCAAAATATAGTGCGTTGAAATTGGAGTAAAAAAAACCTTACCATCCTATATCCAAGGAGATACAAAAGTGGTCCTTCTATTAAGCATATTGCTTTTTTGTTAACACTCCTCTACAGTACAAGACACTCAAGACAGCAATAGTTACAGGAATCCATAGGCGATACAGGAGTTACATACCATAGCTTTAGAAATTATTAGGTGTCACTGTATATTCTTGAGAAAATTAGTGATCTTTCAGAATAAATTACAATAGATCGACACCTTGATTCATTCAAAGATCACGAAAAAGTATACTTATGCCATGAATCCTAAACGCCAAACAGGGATAAAGGAATGAAATGACGAATGGTGGGGATAACTGCCGAATCATTGTCAAAGATTTGTTTTATTCAGAAGATATACAGGGTGTCCCGAAATTACATAGAAAGATTTCAACCACAGATTCTAGAAACAAAAATGGTGGAAAAAGGTTATGTAAACATGGTTCCAGAAATGGCCCCCTCGGGAGTTATAGCTATATAAAGAGGAGCCCGATATGATGGATTTATGTAAATAGTTTCGAAACCCTCTGTGTTTAGATAACGAAATTTTGTACATGTATATAACTTTTCATGCCCGATTTGGAAATATTAAGAATTTTTAGAAACTTTGATCAGGGTCGTGGAAAATATGTGGGGCTAGGGGCATTTTTTTCCTCAACTTTTTTTTTCAATGCAATTTTCGGTAGTTTAATCAGGAAATATGAAAATATTATAAGTTTTACTTAAAAATAATACTCTTGTCCAGTTTCGATAGCACACCATTTTCGAGCTGTATCGATTTTAAGAGTCTGCTGCGTAACAAAAATAGTGCTTTTTCCTTAAAATTATTTTTCTATAGAAAATAACCTTTTTCAACATCTACCTGTGATGTTTGCGTCAAATTATGAGAGGAACAATAAAAATAATAATTTGAAAAATATTATGGTAGGTGTCTTGAAGAGAAAAAGTAAAATTTTTATTACGCAGCAGACTTTTGAAATCGATTTATCTCGAAAATAATGGGTGTGGCACCTGTGGATTTCCGGTAACTATTTTTGACTTGAACTGTAGACGCGAGTTCACATAGGAAGAAATTGTGCCAAATTTCAAAAGGATCATATTTGTATGTCCATAGATATGGAATAGAAATAATAAACTCTTCAGCGCCCTGTATATAGATTGTGGTGCATTTTTTTGGAGGAATGTTTATTGAGAAGTCTGCACATTTTGTGAGACTCGTATCACTTCTCTAACTCAGTAAAAAATCTCTACCGCCCTCTATAAATTTGAGATATTGAGACGAAAAATGCTTCAAACTTGGTGTTTTGACATCAATTAATATTACCAAATGAATTAATTACTAATAGTATATTCCAACTAAGAAGACGACGTCATAGAAACCATTGGGAAACTTTGACCTTCGTTTTGATTGGTTAATATTGGAGGCAATAATACACCTGTATAACTTATTGCTACACTGTTCAACATGTTACACCCAACTACAGAACAGGGATACAAATTACTTCTAATACATATATTTTCTAGTTTGAGAATTAAATAGACTTACGACTACGAAAAATCCAAAATGCTCATAGTGGAATGAAATAACTCAAAGTCATTTCCACAAATGTTCATAAAATGAACAACAATGATAGATGACGGGAAAAAAACAACTTCTTTCCTGGCTACTGCCACACGACACAAGTGTTTCTTTCCTGAATGCCTATTGATTTCGATTTAGCCAGGTTAACGCTCGACACCTACAGACCGGTTTCGAGCTCTTTGGCTCTCATCAGTGCAGGGTAGTCTCTAGCTAGCAGTCCGAAGACCGCCAGCTAAGCACAACCCTCAGAGGCATCTCTCATAGACAATATGAGTGTAACGGCATTTGAGTTGAAAGGAAAAAATTGAACACTTCAAAGCTTGCATCAGTATTCGTTCATACGAATCGATGCATACATTTCTTGATAGCTGGTCAGTTTGGATTAGAAGATGATTATATGAAACTTACTTCAATTTCGAATATGAAATGAAAAATAGGTGTTTCTATTTGAAGAAAACCAGAAAAACCGCGGCCTAAAATAAAAATCGACTTGCTCGAGCGTTTTTCTAAAAATCCAAACACCTCAATTTAAAATGAATTTGTTCCACCCCACGCAACCCCATTGTTTGTAACAACAATTTTTCCATTCGGATAATTAGAAGAGCTGAACGGTTCCTGAGGTTTTCAACCGTTTCCACACTTTTTACATTTTTATTAACTATGTATGCAGGTTGTTTGGTTCACCGACGTATACCTGAAAGAAGGTGATAGGTAAGATGATTTTGTTCACATTCAAATATATAGAGTACGATGCAAATGTATGGAATACATTCTTCATTCCAAAACTAGGCGACTCTAATTTTTGATGCCCCATCTCATGATATTCATTTATTTATTTATTTATTCTCAAACAGGTAGAAAACCTTATTACATGAGAATCATAATGTATACAGGGTGTTTCATAGGTAAAGGGAAATATTTCAATGGTACATAGGGGTCACCAAGGTGGATCTGAAAATATCATATTTGATAGGTCTTAGAGTCTTCATAACGGAGATTCAGGGCGATTTATCGATTTCGAATAATTATTCATTCGTCTATAAGTATTGAACTAACAATTATATTTTTCTAAAATTTGGTATGGGATTGGTACTTGGGACGTTGAATTCATTCACCTATCGGGTGAAGTGAAAATCCAGGTTCGGCTTCAGGAAAAATTTACATTTATTCGAAATATCAAAATAACACACTACGTAATAATTGACAGAGTTCATCATAGGAATCGTGAAGAGGAGGAAAAACTGAACTGGATTTGATGGTTTTCCCGCCACCAATTCTCATCGTAACAATCATAAACAGAAAACTAAAATTATGTCAATTTGAAGAGTATTGAAATTATGAAACCACTTTCAATTATGATTATTTGATATATTCTTGTTAAATGATCGTTCGAAAGAACTTACTCAGTCTCACAGTATTTATAACAGAGATACAGGGTGAATTATCGGTTTCGAATAATTATTCATTCGTCCATATAAGTATTAGACTACCCATCGCAGTAATATTTTCTCAAATTTGGTATTGAGCTTACTTGGGACGATGAATTCATTGACCTATCAGGCAGAATGGAAATACAGGTTCAGCTTCACGAAAAGTCTCATAGTCTTTATAACAGAGATACAGGGTGAATTATCGAATTATAATTATTTGGTATTATTTCCATTCCGCCTGATAGGTTAATGAATCCATCGTCCCAATTAAGCTACATACCAAATTTGAGAAAATGTTACTGGGTAGTTTAATACTCTTGGACGAATGAATGATTATTCAAAACCGATAATTCACCCTGTATCTCCGTTATAAAGACTGTGAGACTTAAGTTCTTTCGAGCGGTTTTTTGACTAAAATATGTCGAATAATCATAATCCTCTCCTCTTCACAATTCTTTCGATGTACTGTGTTAATTATTAAATACAGTGTGTTATTTTAATATTTCGGATAAATGTAAATTTTTCCTTAAGCCGAACCTGGATTTTCGCTCCGCCCGATAGGTGAATGAATTTAACGTCCCAAGTATAAGCTCCTTGCCAAATTTGAGGAAAATATACTGGGTAGGTCAATACATATAGACGAATGAATAATTATTCGAAATCGATGAATCGCCCTGTATCTCCGTTATGAAGACTCTAAGATCTATCAAATATGGTATTTTCAGAACCACCTTGAACCATTGAAATATTTTCCTTTACTTGTGAAACACCCTGTATAACAACAGTATCTATATGATAACAGTCTTAGAGTATATCATTGCAAATATTCTACTAACTACAATAATTGAAATGATCATTTCAAATCACTGATGGCGCGAACACACTATAAAAACTGTTTATTCTAAATTAGAAAAATATGTTTTCATACCATGATAAAATTTTGAGGGAGCTGACTTCTGACAATAGTAGGAAGTTGTTTGTTAATTTTATCATTGTTATAATGGGTGAACAGTTATTAGTTGATACATATGGAACATCAAAGAATTGTACAAGCTGGGTCAATCGATTGGGAGATCTTCTTTTCAATACTGATCGGAGATAGGGGCAGTTATAATATTTTTTGTAGATTTTATAACACATTGTGACTATATTTGCTTGTCTTCTATTTTCTAGACTGGGTATTTCAAATTCACTTCTAAGTGCTACTGTTCTAACTATATTATAGTCCGGGTAAACTTTATATTTTTTATAATACAAATATCTCAGAAATCTGTTTTGAATTTTTTCCAACCTATTTTTGTTGATTAGCTGAGAGGGATGCCAGATTGCAGCGCCATATTCAAGTTTAGGTCTTACTAGAGTATTATAAAGTGCAGTTATTGCTTTGGTGTCATTGAAATGTGCACTTTGTCTCATTACAAAACCCATAGTCCGTAGTGCCTGCGATGCGATATGATTCAAATGTGGTTTATACGAAAGTGCGGAGTTATAATATATACCGAAATATTAGATATTAGAGATGTTATGTCACCGGCGTTGGTTGGTATTTTTTTCTCTAACGTTCTCGAGAACTTTAGGGGTTATTTGTGCAGACAAAGATGTTAAGACAAAGATGAGTATCTCCATACCTTTTTAAACTTTTTTTTTCATTTGAAGTAAACATTCCAAGTCATGTTCGACACACATATCAGGGAAATCGAAAACTGTTGGAAAATGAAATAAAAAATCCAGATCCGTTTTGAAAAAAATAAAGTTGATGATGACCGCTCAAATAATTGAAATTTATACAATTTCGAAGCAGCATTTTGTTGAGCATGAAATGGTGCAACTTTGCCCTAATTTAACCTTCTCTGTATCTTAAGGTTACCAAGATCCCCATGCTTAGCCACGAAGTTGTAACACCCTGTATACTATTTTAATACACATTTACTTTTAAACTGACTTGCTATAAACCATTTTTCATTTTCTATCTATCTATCCATCTATCTATCTATCTATCTATCTATCTATCTATCTATCTATTCAAAAATACTTTGTTTCGTAAAATTGTTATTATTTTTTATTTAAATAGATATGCTACGTTGAGTCTGCATCTGTCATCACATCATTCAAAAAGACCAATACCAAGAAACTTTTCAAATATATCCAAACGATTATTTTATTTACATGTCTTATACGCTTATGAAGTCGAAGGTGGATTTTCTAGTAAATCGTTTTTCAAATTCTAATGACCCACAATTTCCTTATCACGTATTCATCATCATAGGAAAAAACAATACAATCAGATAAAATGTTAAACAAAACTTTTATAATGACTTAGATGGAACTTTTCATCAAATAAAATACGGTAAAATACGGGTATCTCAGAAAGCGTAATACTTCGTAATATAATGGTTAAATATGTTCAAAATGTCACTTTTCAGATATACGTCGGTGAACCAAACACCATGATAATAAGTACTATTTTATAATGCTCACATTTGAGCCATTTCATTTCTTCACATTCTCTTTTTTTCAGGTATGAGCAACTACCAGATGTTATTTCAGCTCAGGAACAGTTTTAAAGAAATATGGTTGTAGCTATATAATAATATAAATAGTTTCTGATTTCAGGTTGTTTAAAATTCTTTAGTGAATCTGGTAACATTTTGGGTTTTAATGTAGATAAATTAGTACCTGTTGATTTTTTTAAAGGGAAAGCAGGCTTGTATCTTTCTCCATATCGTATATTGACTATCATTCATTTGAGGTATTTGTCATATTTGTTTATAAGCCTATCTTAAGATATCCAATATTATTTTCCACTATTTCTGGTATCACCAGAAAATGCCTTGGGAGATGACCTAAGAAATTAAAGAATTCCAGGTTCGATGGGGTTGGTCGAACGGTTGCAAAAACATAGTGAAACATAATTCTGGGTAAATTGAGATAGCAGATGAGTTAGTATGAAAAATGTTCCAGATGACTTGAAGTCTAAATTCGATATTATATGAAGGACACATGACCATTCCCTTGAAAAACATCATCTGATTACATTCGTTGGTTTGTCTCATCATTTTCATTATATTAACAATTTATTTGAACTTGAATTGATTTTTATAAATTCATCAACTGGATTAATAAATAATGTCATATCTCATCTATTTGACATGAAGCCAACTTCATTCCATATCTGGTTACAGGTCTACTAAATATGTTGATGAAATATGGACCTATTGTTGTCTTTGAAATTTGCCGGTTGTGACAGCATATACATATCTAAAATGATTTATTTTTATGAATTGAAATAATATGCAATAATGACAACAAAAATAATAGATTTTATCGATCGGTAGTTGATGAACTTCAATTGTACAGGGTTGTCCATCACGTTATTACTCACCGAAGAAAAAAAAATACCTTTAAATAAGGTACAGTCAATCTTAGTTTTCAATATATGTTTTAAATTTTAATATTTTGCTGTTTTATGTTGAGAACGGGAGCAGATTTGTTCCCGAAACGTCCAAAGATGAGTAAAAATTCAAAATTTTTTCAATATATCTATATTTCTTCTCTTCAAACTTTTTTCCAAATAAAGTGACACTGACAAGCTATTGGATTTTTCTTTTATGCTCTCTGATAGAGAAATTTGTTGAACGCAGTGACATTTTGGGTCATATCATCTGATTTGTCCTACTACACATATATTGAAATGGTACTCATATTTTCATTTTGTAAAAACGAGGTGATAAAATCCCTAATAATCAAGTAAAATGAATGTAACACTTCCTCGATTAACCTACGGACAGTATTTAACTAAATATCCATATTCGGAAATGAGTTTATAGAATATAATAACTTTGTTTTTAAATGTAATATGTTATAATAATTCATAGTTCAACTGCCACATGTATCCTGTGTCACCCGGTACATTGACTATTTTTTCTGAAATCGATGAGACAGATCATGACTATTTTAAACCCCAAAAGGACCTATTCACTAATTCTGTTGTAGATCGTTCATAAAGTTGGCAGTGATGTAACTATTGTCAAAGCAAAAGAAGACTATTCGGATTACTTCACGAAGCAAATTGAGGAATTGGAGCACATGGTAGAACTCTTCGATTTTCCATCAACTTTCGAAACTCACGATTTAATTCAAGCATTTAGTGATATCAAAAGTGAGGCGATGTACGTCAAATGGGTTGACGACACCCATGCGTTACTTGTTCTCGGCTCTCTTAGTCAGGGTAAGCTGTAGTGAATAAGGTGAAATGATTTGAGTGGGTTTCTTCTGTATTCAGGTTGAAGTATCTGAATAGTGGTGAATATTACGCTACGCTCGTAATAGAACGTGGGCCCATTACACCACAAGTGTCGATAGCATATGTTCGTATGCCCTTTTAGGGATATACTCAGACAGCCCGGGGAACCGGGAAAAAGTGCCTCCGAGCGTCTATGACCAGTCCTTGCACCTGCTATGACCTCTACTTCCGGTTGAAAAAAGGGTTAAGCATTCGACGAACGAGGAAGCTCGGGCATGTGGATACATTATCGTATCTTGCAAAAATAACCGGGCGCTAGCCGGTTTGCATACGTCTAGGTCGCTACCGGAAGGAGGCATACGAATCAGTAGTGTCAATTTTCCACTGGTGATAAGCGATAATCGAGGAAAGTATGCCCTTTGGTGGAACGACTCCTTTCGACCCATTAACCACTATTCCGACCTCTGCATACGATTTTGGAGAGGGCATCTCGATTTATGCCAACATCAACTGACCGGACTAACCTATAAATAGTTGATAATTTATGTTCGTATGCCATTTTAATGAACAAAAGCTGGTTTGCATTCGCCCAGGTCACTACCGGAAGGAGACATACGAGGCGGAAGTGCTAATTTTGCACTAAGATTTCTCGGGCATAAATTTGATTAATGTTTTTTTTATATGAAAAACGTAAAAATTATATTTTTATTAAATCAAATATATGAAAATGAAATTATATTTGTTCACGATCATCTGTAATTTTTTCGTGGAACTGTTATTCTGCATCGTTCGTCGAATGCTCAACCCTTTTTTCAACCGGAAGTACAGGTCATAGCAGGTGCAAGGACTGGTCATAGACGCTCGGAGGCACTTTTTCCCGGTTCCCCTGAAAATCTCCCACAGCAGAATGTAATCACCGACAAAAAACTTACTTGTTCTAGGCTCTCTCAGTTAGGGTAAACTGTAGTGAATAAGGTGACATGTTTTGAGTGGGTTTCTTCTGTATTCAGGTTGAAGTATTTGAATAGTGGTTAATATTACGCTACGCTCGTGATCATTGAAAATCTCCCACAGCAGAATGAAATCACCGACATAAACTTAGTTGTTCTTGGCTCTCTTAGTTAGGGTAAGCTGAAGTGAATAAGCTGACATGATTTAACTGGGTGTCTTCTGTATTCAGGTTGAAGTATCGTATAGTGGTGAATATTACGATACGCCAGTACCATTGAAAATCCCCCACAGCAAAATGAAATCACCAACATATACTTACTTGTTCTCGGCTCTCTTAGTTAGAGTAAGCTGGAGTGGATAAGGTGAAATGATTTGAGTGGCTTTCTTTTGTATTCAGGTTGAAGTATCTGAATAGTGGTGAATATTACGCTACGCTAGTACCTTTGAAAATCCCCCACAGCAGAATGAAATCACCAACATAAACTTACTTGTTCTCGGCTCTCTTATTAAGGGTAAGCTGTAGTGAATAAGGTGAAATGATTTGAGTGGGTTTCTTCTATATTCAGGTTGAAGTATCTGAATAGTGGTGAATATTACGCTACGATCGTAATCATTGAAAATCTCCCACAGCAGAATGAAATCACCGATATAAACTACTATCTAGACTGCTAATGTCATAAGAAAGAAGGTAAGATCACGAGATCGGACTGAGGTACATGAATCATTTAGGACCTGTCGTATATCTTTTTCTTACTCACATTTCCGAACATCAAGAAACATGACTCGCTTCTTGCGCAATTTAGATGAGATTCTCGGGTTTCTGAAATATAAATATAAGGTGTTTTCGGAAACTGACTCTGAGTTTTTAACTCGATCCAAAGAGGTCACGTGACAAAAAACTCTGATCACCTATACTCGTGTTCAGGTGATATACTGGTACAATGAACCAGTATATATCACCTGTTGAAGCTACTGTGTTAGCAAAACATGTCGTGTGTCTGAGAATTTTGTGAAAATCTTATAGTTTGTGAAGTTTTTACATTTGCCATGAATTTCCATCAAGTTACGGCCGAGTCAATTAAACAAAAAATTAATATTTTTTTATATTACTGTAGTACAATATGGAAAAAAGGAGTGTGTATAATCAAAATTCATCGACATTTTGCCTCGTATTCTTTCTGAAATGTGCATTGTGGTTTATTAAGTACCACGAGCCAAAAATAAATCAAATATCATTTTAGTATTTTCTTCAATTGACTATTTCTTCAAATTATTTACCTGGAATATGTGAAGGTACATCATAAGTCCAATATCAACATATTTCCATTCACAAAAAAATGAATTGCAGTAATGGCGGCACAAGAATACTGATAACTAACTTGACTACTTGACAATATTTTTTTTTCGTTTTTTTCCATCTATCGGATTGAAAACCTCACTATTTATTTAGTCGGCCATGACAGTTTTGGTACGGGATATATGATTTTTCATTCTATTCGTAGGGAATTTCAATGCCAATACGTAGTTCACTGAGCTACAGACCTCTCAACCTTTATTTTTTACAGAGTGGTCTGTTGTCTAGCCCAGCGGTTAGTCTGCCGAACGGTCTCAAATACTTGTATTTGGCGGGTTTACTAGTATAAAGCGGGCTCTGCTCTCCATGCTCTCTACTTTATTCTTACCTGGCATTTACTTCAGGTCAGGCATCTGCTGGGCTACTGGAAACCCACAAAAGAATTACAGAGAATAAACCTTCAATACCGCTCTGAAATTCACATGAATTTCCTCGCTAGGACATATTGGATCTCTATGATACTGCACAAAGAAGTAATTTCATATTGCAAACCTGTGATGTCGGTACTGTCTCAGGACTGTTTTGTGAACTATCATACGATTGAATTGGGTCTTGATGAAATATGAAGTAAAATGGAATCTTCTCAACATTAATACATACAGTATTGTTGAATATTTCATTCCATAGTAGTATATAAACCTATACCGTCCTTTCAAAAGGACAGCATGTTTGGACCAATCACAAAAAGAATAAATGATGAAGATTTCAGGAAAAATAGTCTTAGGTTAAGGTGGTAATTAATAGTTATTATTGAAAAGAAATATTCTCTGATATATTTATGAACACAAAAAAAATTTATATATACATATATATATAAAGAAATACATTGAGAATTCGCATTCTCCATGTGATGAAAATATTAATTTTTTCTCGGTTTATTCAACAGAAAACAACTACTTTCCTGGATATTTGCCACGTCGAACATTGAATTATATCTGTTGAATATCCAAAAAGAGAGCATGAAAAATCAATATCCTATGAAATTGAGGATTGGCATTATCTCTCAAATCCAATAGAATAATATGATGTACTATGATATAAAAATATAATTAACTTACCAATATGTTCAGTATTGACATGAAAATTGAAATGTATAGGAGAAGTATTCTTGTATGAACTCTGATATAATTCAATGTTCGACGTGGCAAATTGCCAGGAGGAGTGTGACAGAGAAAGAAGTTCGATATTGCGAAGTCACACCCATTGAACATATGGAAACTTCGAACGCAAATATCTTTGTAATGGATTGAAAATAACCCTATCAAAACCGGTATCGTTGAATTCGTCATGATAATCCCTAACCGATTATGGAATACAATACAGGGTGTCCCGTTTGAAAATCAAAATTTGGGGTCGTTTCCGGTGGAACTGGAAGTGATAAAAGAAAAATTGTTTCATCAATTAATGAGCAATTTGGTATACTTGCTAGCCACCAATTTTCAAAACCCTATATAGAATAGTTCAAAAGTTACAATCCTGGTCGTTTTTTGTGCACTTCTCTGTATATATCCATTTTTTTTTGTTCATAAATATATCTGAAAATATTTCTTTTCAATACTTTCACCCAATCAAGGGGTTCAAACTTGAACGATGGAAACTTGTTATTTTTATAGACCCCAATCGCAGATTCGTGATTAGGTTTTCTCAATTCAGAATTTCTTTCCACGTCCTGTATGATAAATATCAATTTATTATACATCCAATAATAGTTATCAATATAAAAGAATTTCTAGTGATTTGAAATTCGTCGAATTGACATCTTTAATAATTATCATGAACATTCAAAATATTAATCGACTTATCTGAAGGAAGATTTTTCTAAATTTTCCGAGATTGCCTTCCGATATAATTACATAGTAGTTTCATGTTTGTCGCCCCATTCGGTACATACTTTTATGGCACCATCGGTAATGCTAGCATGAATTCGCTTTTTTTTTCTCTGACCATCCCCATACAGAGCAAATATATCATAGATGGAATAATTATAAAATATGATTTGATTCAGTGAATGGCGGGTTCTAATCATATCGGAAGACAAGCTCAAAAAATTTCGATTAATCTTCCTTCGCTTGTCTTCCTTAAAAATTACATTACTTATAATAAGTGATTCTATTGATTGTAAAATATAGATATAGTGAACATAATTATACAGGTCAAACATTCATATTATCAAAAGGTAGGATTCAATATCTTACCTTGCTGACGGAATATCATTTTCCACACATGAACTCCTCATTTCTAAGTTATTTTGTCACATTAATGATTCAACCGAACTGTATATTATGAGTATATTGCATTCGAAAATGAAGCATTTGTCAGTCCAACCTGTTATCGGTATAGAACCTTCTGGAGGCTGCTAATAATACTGAAATTATTTATTCAAGACTGAATGAGAATAATCTGTAATGATCGATTACTGAGGTCAATATTCTCTTTGATCTATAATGATCTATACGAGTATATATGTTGATATCCATTCGGGCCAGACATTTTATCTATTTCTTGATAATGCATATTTTCTTAGGAAAAGGTCTCAACTACGTGAACTGTTCTGATTGTTCTAAAATTGTTCTGAAATTGTTCTATTCGTCATTCGGTTGCCCCCTTACGAGCAACCCTCAGAAGCCTTCGAGAGTCTTGTGCGAGCAAGAAATGATGGGGGCCTTACCTTTTAACGTGTGATTCCAAACACTTTCTTGGGCCATCAGAAAAATGTCTGCAGTCGCGGGGAATGGAACCCACGACCGGCAAGCGGATGCGGATTAGAATACTGACACTCTGTCCGCACGGCTACCTGGCCCCTGATGAAGACTATCATTGTGATCCTTGAACTTGTAGTCGATTTTCTCTGTCTCTCTCATATTGAGGAGCCAACCTCTGCATATTAGAACTGGTTGAATCTTGAAATCGTTCTAGTTCAAGAGTAGTGCATTCTTTCAGCACAAAAAGCCATATCCATTGGACATCCATTGATCAATGTGCGCCCCATGACAGCTGCCAGCAGAGAATCTCTTGCCACTGCTTATAAGCACGACTTGAGGCCTGCCATGAAAAGGCCGCAAACTAACCTACAGACTGCGAGGAGATTGATTACTAGTCACCTCGGGACGAAAACTAGTGTAAGCAAAGAGAGGAGTGCAAAGGAAAGGGACGATCTGAGAGCTGCAAAAGGTATTTATGGAAATGGAGTTCTGTGAATTCTGGATAAACTTTATCTATCTATCTTCAAGACATCAATGGGCTAGTGAACTGATTCTTTTTAATTTTTTGTTATTGATCTTCAGATTTATACTGTATATTTTATTTTTTCAAATTTCATAAGTGGTTTTAAGGTTTCCAAATCACAGCGACTCATAACAACTGACGTCACGAGTCAGTGTGAGAAGCACATAGGTGTCTCAAAGTACATCTGAAAACAGAAACAGAAATTTTCTGCCCATAAACATCGTTATTATTACAAAATATATTCAGTATGAAACGTGAATACATCGCTTCACATTTGGTATCTCGTAGTTAGACTTCGCAAGCGCAGTTGCCGAATCCCCAGATATTTACCGAATATTTGGTCAAAGAGCACGTAGGTAGTCATAAATGCAATTATGGATATTAGGATATTTGCCAATAGGATGATCAATCATCGGCTAGTGATTACTTCTTAGGACAGTCACATCAGCAAAAATAGAAAATGGGAACAAGCTATAATCTCTCTCATATCTCATTGCAGTATGTTTTCAGTTATGTATTGTAAAATATATGTTTTGTTGTATTTCATGTCTAAAGTTGCCGAAAAAAATTACAATCGGTATAGAATTTGTTTAGTATTTGGAAAACAGGGTAGGACAGGGAATTATCCCTAACTCTGAATATGAATAATACAGAAAGTAGAAAATGTATTATGAATTTTTTTATTGCCTTCAAGAAACAAATATTGTTTGTTCATAAAGTTTTGAACAGGATGTCTTTCAAATGATGGCCATCATTGTCAATACACTCTTATAAGCGGTTTCTGAAGCTCTGACCTTCGTGAATAAGATTTCATTTGACGTAGTAGACAAAAACTCTCCGATTCGCTGAGGTATCAATGTTTTCGATTTCTCAGAATATGGATTCTGATTGCATAATTTTGCCAATATGAATATTGTGCTTTACGTTTATTGTCATGCTTAACATATAATGAATTTCACTTTCGTCTACATTCCGCATACCTTTTTAATGAAGAATTCTGATCCAAACAGAAATTGTTTGAATAATTCTGATTGCAACAAAATTCGAGTTCCTACAAATAAAAGGCCGGACAGGAGTCAAACGACGGAAGGTGTGTTTGAAAAACTCTGCTGCCATGGTAATGTGTTTAACATTTATAATAAATCACAGATCGTCAATCCGTGATTAATCGATCATTTAGCGTGGTACATATCCGTACGCTAAATGCCATTCTAGTTATGTGAGTAGAAAAACATATTTGCAGGACCGTATTAATTGGCAATGTAGAAAACAATACGCGAGCCTTGATGTGACAGGTTACTAATGAACTCACGAAAAAATAAACATATCTAAATAAAAACATCGTCCTTACTATCGCCTTTCCGAATACTCTGAAAACGGGAAAAGTGATTCCTTTTTAAAAAATAAAATTCCTCTCTATTAGAAAATTTCCGGTCGATAACAGCAGGTAGGTACCTAACGGATTTTCAAAAATATTCGAATATGCTTTCCTCAATAGGATATTGCCATTCTTGGATAGACATCAGGTGCTTAGTGAGAAACATGGCACATGGCTTCTGTTCGGGAATGTCAATTCATCATAAAGTTATACATATGATTGACGGAAGCGAGTGCCCTGCTGCAATATTTCGCGACTTGAGCATGGCATTCGACTGTTTTAATCATGAAACTCCTATAATTATTGGAAACATATGGATTGCGAGGCTCACCACTTGAATAATGAATCTCATCTTTTTTGAAAAATCGTAAAGTCACCTTACAATTTCAATATGGTGGAAAAACTGAATTTATCGAAGATATTGGGAGTTTGACTAGAGGCGTGCCACAGGGCTCAATATTGGGACCTGTACTTTTTATTTTTTATGTGAATCATTTGCACTATATATATATATTGACACAGAGCATTATACTTGCATACGCAGATGACTTCTCATTAATCATTTCTTATTCAGTTACGAAAAGAAAAATATAAGTAAAGTATGTTGATAAAACCCAAATTATAAGGATTCACAATCGTCAAAAAAATTTTGAAAATTTGGAAATTCCTGTAGAAGACACTTCGCTTACTAATTCTCACGAACCGATAAAAATATTGGGAATTCATCTAAAAGAATGCTCAAACTGGGAACCTCAATAAATTTCAAAATTGAGTTCAATGAAATATATATTTATTTGCTAAATATATTTGCTAACTTAGTCCTACTGTTTTGGATACGCATCAGCTCCTTAATTTGTATTATGCACAAATTGAACCACGGCTGAAATATGGCATTTGTTTTTGAGGTAATTCAACTCATGCACGTGATATTTTTACCATTCAAAAACAAATTATGAGGTGCATTTTCGAAATTCCGCGGATACGTTCATGCAAAAATATATTTAAAGATTTCAATGCTGGCAGTTCCTTGTTATACGACGCTATACATAGTGGAGTATACTACGGCCTTGTCAAAAATGCTATCTCGGAAACTAAGCGAGATAGAGGTATAGTTACTTTGGAGAAAATGATTCCCATCGAATTTTGAGCAACTTTGGTTTTTGTGTGTGGTCTGTCTGTCTGTCTGTCTGTCTGTACTCTGTGTTAATCATAAATCGATATATCTCCGGAACCCTTTGACATATCGACTTGAAATTTTGCCATCTTATTGTACTCAAAACAATATTATGTCATTAAAATATGAAGAAAATCGGAAAACTCTAAGGTGGTTTTTCCGGGTTTTTTCGATTTTTCACCGGAAGTTCCTTGTAACCACTCTACAAATCGCAAAAGTGGTCCGATCGATTTCATTTTTCGTGAAAAAAACCTATATCAGGAAGAGACGAAGCCTATTGAAATTGAGTAGGGTCGGGAAATTTCAAGTGGGTTTTTCAAGGAGATTTTCCGAAAAACACGGTTTACTTTAAAACGACATATCTCCTGAACTAATAGACTAAATCCAAATTTGAAAAAATGCACCGTATGCCTCTTTGATGACGCAACAAATTATTATTCAACCATTTTTTCGTGCATCCATCGGAAAATGGAAAAACAAATGAAAATCAAAACATCAAAATTTGAAATCCTTTCAATTCAATATATATCGAAAACAAATGGAAGAATCGAAAATTATCAAGAGTGCAAAGTTATCCACTGGAACATTTCCTACTTATTATGATCCATAATTTTTTCTGTAAACCCAATAGTACAGGAAATAAAGTGAAAAATATGAAAAAAAAAAATTTAACGACCCATATGGTACTATGAAGATATATTGAAAAACAAAGATTATCGATAGATGAAGGTCATCGACTTCCACTGAACCATGACATATTTTTTCATTTTGTTGATTGGAAGGTGGAACAAAAGTGTTGAAAATTTTATTCTCAGATAATTTCAAATATCTCGAAAACAACTGGAAATATCTGAAAATGTTATAGAACCAAAATTATTCCTTTTAATAAAATCTACAAAAAATCCAGTTAACATTTTTCTCTGAATTCAATAGTTCGGGAGATACGATGAAAAAACTAAAAAATTTACAAGTTCCTAAATAATCACTTGCCAATAGAAATCAAAACAAAAAACAAAAGAAAGTAAAAAAAGCACACTCGAGTGTCTTGATTTTTTTCTCATAAACTACGTACCTAGCTCACTCGACTGTGTGGAAAAACCAAGTCAGTCGAGTGGGCTAAGTACGTAGTTTGTGGGAAAAATCTCCAGTTCTCCGAACTTTCATAGCGTCGTATACACATCCTTGGTGCCCAATGATAGTTTCAATATAAAAATATACTCATGATATGGTGCCAAGGCCTCTACTTCCATCTTACATGAGCAATGATAAAATATAATCTGCTTTTATAGCGTCGTATAAATTATCTGACCTCTAAATAAACTAATACCTTATGAAAACTACATCTATACTAATCTGATACCTTTTAAAAACTACGTACCCACTTGTTTATATATATTTGAATTATATGTATACGTTTTCCATAACACACGTAAATGTATGCTCAATATGGATGTACACGAACATATTACGAGACATAAAAGTGACATCAGATTAAAAATGACGAGGCTGAATATCTTCATGTGCTCCAAATATATTTGGCCCAAAATTGTTTATCACTCAACCAAAACGGATAAGGTCTTATTGTAACTCCCTAATATTCTCCAAAAGAAGACTTGAACTGTTTTTAGCAGATAAGTCGTTTTATAACATGAATGAATTTTTATTGTCTGATAACGTGTGATAAACATACTCGTATTGTATATTTTAATTACTTTTTATTGTATGTCTTATTTTTATTGTATGTTTCATTTTTATCTTTTTATCTAATACTGCGAATTGTTTACGATTTCCTAAATTTATACTAACATAAATTGACTATTTCATATACATGTAAAATGTCAAATAGGTAATAAACCGATTGATTGATTGATTGATTGACGACACAAAATATTCGAATTTGGCGGGTGGAAACATATTCATTTCGTCACGCGTCACAACAAAATTATTCGAAAAGAAAAGGAAACTTCACGAGTTACAAGATCATCTATTATAAATTATAATTGAAAATATCACAACAATTTATGGTTTAACTGAAAATTAAATTATTCTTTTTCAATGGACACTGTAAATGATTTTTAAGAAATTACTGTTATAGGTAATGGTCTTTCTATTTCTTGAGTATACACAACTATTTCATTGTTTTGTCTACTTCCCATGGGTTTTAACTGAGAGTATCTTGTTTCAGAAATGAAAAAACTAGTCAAGAAGAATGAGCAAGATGCTTGGGAAGGAAATCTTCGTTCATCGAAAACGAAATAACACTCAATTTTGTTAAACTTGTGCCTTAATATTTGCATTTTGGACGTGCAATGTTCTCAATTGAATGTTTGCATCTTTTTATGATATACCTACGTTCATTGTCTTCATGTTTACATGATGATATTTACCTCAAAAATCATGTTCATGCAATTGTCTTCATGTGTACACAATGGTATAAAAAATTATGTTCATGCAATTTACCTGACTAGGAAATAACAAATAAATGTATATTTTTGTTTTCAATGTTGTTTTCAGTGGTCGTGCCCATTCGGTTGTTTATTAACTATCAATTTCTCAGTGTGAACAAAGTGAAAAAATTTTGTTTTTGGATGTATGACAAATTGATATTCATCATACAGGACGTGGAAAGAAATTCTGAATTGAGGAAACCTTATCACGAATCTGCGATTGAAAGTCTATAAAAATAACAAGTTTCCATCGTTCAAATTTGAACCCCTTGATTGAATGAAAGAATTGAAAAGGAATATTCACAGATAAATTATGAACATGAAAAAATGGATATATATATACATAGAGAAATACATTGAGATTCGCATTCTCTGTGATGAAAATGATTCAATGTTCGTCGCGGCATATATAGCCAGGAAAGTAGTCGTTTTCTGTTGAATAAACCGAAAAAGAATTGATATTTTCATCACAGAGAAGAATTCTCAATGTATTTCTTTATACATATATACATTTTTTCATGTTCATAATTTATCTGAAAATATTCCTTTTCAATAAGAATATTTTATTGAACACCCCATAATATACTTCAACTGGAAAAAATCTGCTGTACAGGTAGGTTCAAATTGGAAACTTTTACAGGGTAGTCCTATTCTCGGACTAGGTAGAAGAAACCTGATATCGGTGCCTGAAGGACAATTCTCATGACTGAATAGTGAAAAGCGCATATCGAAATCTATCTTCTTTTCAGAGTTATGAGGTGTTTTTCGAAAATATGAATTTCTGAAAAGTGGCCAAAACACATATTTTCAGCAAAAATGATCTTCAAAAACGTTTCCAAAGCATTGTGTTTTAGTCCAGTCGGCAGGTAGTTTTAGCGATGAAAAATTCAGAAGTTAATGGAATTTTAGTATGTTGTTTGTACATGTTTAGTGATGCCAAATCCAAGTTTTCGACCTCGAGGAGGTTGTGGAAAATTTTTGGCGGCCAAAAAACCTCGAAATATTCGGACTTGTTTAAGTTTTTCACCTATAACTCGACAACGGTCAATCCTACGGGAAAAAACACAGTATACTAAATTAAAGAAGACAAAATTTCCTGTCGACTCACGAAATAAAAACTGGAATCGGAGCTGTAATAAAGTTTTCACGAGCGATCAAAGTATGGTGATTATTTCCAATTTTGGTAAAAACTGCCGTCACCCCCATTTTCAAAGTGCCGTATCTTTACAAAATTACTTTTTTTTTCAACCTCCCTCCTTAGAGTTTGTAGAGTATCAATCAGAGAGTTCAAAATGCGCTAACATTTTGAAATCAGCTCAATTTCTGAAATTGTTGGGACTGTTTTTAAAAAATTAGCGTTTCTCGAAAATAGCTACCTATTGATTCTATGCTTTTTACTTGGGGTAAATGATCCCAATGACCCATGACCACCTTGTGATTCCGTCTCAATTTTATTGATACCTAGGAAAATAATAATGGTTGACGGAGAACAATGTCATACCCAATAGATAATAAATGTAATTATGTGAAAAAATATATTTACGAAGAATTCATTAGTAGGTATAGCATAAAAACATATACATATCTACACACTATATAATACATAAATGTATCTGCATCAGTCTTCATATCGAGTCTTCGAAGGTTCTGTTCTGCGAGAAAAAAGGCAACAATGAAATATTTCATGTAAAAAATAAGAACGCTAATGAATAATAATGAATGGAGATACATACATTGATTGAGTCGAGACCCTTTTGGCTGAGGTTCGACGTCGTCGTCCTCAAGTTCGTGCTCCTCTTGGGCGATGAGATATTCCAGGAGGTCGTCGTTCTCCTCTTCGTCGTCCTCATTGAGTTCTGGCACGCGCGAGTTCTCGCAGGCGTGGCCGGAGCAGTGCTTGCAAATAACTGAGCACCGCAGGCCTGCCTTCTTGCAACTACAGGCCGCGGTGCTGCAGCCTCTGGCACACTTGCAGGCAAGAATCTTCAGGAGAGACTCAGGGGCTGCATTCTTCGTAGTGGTGATAGGTACCACTCCTTGCTTGGTTAGGGACCACCCCCAATCTGCAGGGATCTTGTTGTTTCCTAACCAAGTTTGTACCTGCTGGTATGTACGGAAGGAATGATACCTACCAGCATCACTAGTAGGTGGAAGCCTGGCAAGTTGAAATTTGGCTTTTGACACCGACTTGGTGAATATTTTGTATCGCAGTCCATCAAGGTTTTCTCGCTCGGGGTCTCCTCCATACATTGTCACCAGAAATTTTTCGCCCGCTTCACAAATTTCTGATGCAGTGGCATCTGGTTTGGTGAAAATCAAAACGTTGGGCGTAAGGAAGGGATTCTTCGCGTACGTGCTGCAAACCTTCTTCTTTCCCAAACCCAAGGGTGCGGAAGTAGTGTCGCATCCACTTATGGCATGGAGAAAGAGAATTTCTTCGGAATGGAATTTACACGATGTAGCGGAGTACATGACGCTGGGGACGTTCCCTTTTCCACTTTTCTGGAACCAGATGTTCTTAGCCGAAGACCCTAAGGCTGTAAGTAGAACGAGGACGTCGATATCTTCGGCTGTAATTACAACAGCATCATAATCCGGAGCTTTCGAAATGGCCGTGGTCACGATCATGACGTCTGCGTCTTCTAAAGCTTGGCGAACCTCGATTCCGTTGGCTTCCATCTCCGTCATTACCATGGCAATCAACCTCTTCTTATTGAAATCGTTGGACAAGAATTTCTCTTGAGCCATAGTGACAATGGTGGAATCAGTGAAAGTATATTTTGTAGACTGTTGCAGAACAGCTCGACGAGACCGCTCAGCGGCCTCCCTTTGAACTTTGTTTTATCTCTGACGGTTTCCATATCCATATAACAGAATTAGTAACAGCTTGTGTAAGGATAATAAATTCTCAAGATTTATTTCTACCTAAATACAGTATGTTTCACTAAAAAGTTATTCTTCATAAAAATTTTTGCATATTCTATAATCTGAAATACAATCATCAGATATAAAAATTATTCAGTCATATACGCGGTGTGTCAAAAAATGTGAATTGTACCCAAGAGTAAAGTACCTTTATATTTGGCTCACCGTGTATTAGACTGAAAAAAAAATGATATCGGATGATTGTATTTCAGATTTTAGGACATACAGAACTTTTTAAGAGGAATAATTTTTTTTCTGAGATGAATAATAAAAAAGATGCAGCACTTTGAAAATGGGGTTATGGCATGGTTATGGCAGGTTTTACCAAAATTCGAAATAATCACCATATTTCGATCGCTCGTGAAAACTTTACTACTTCTCCGATTTCAGTTTGTTTTTCGTGAGTCAACGGGGAATTTTGTCTTCTTTAATTTAGTATACCATGTTTTTTCCCGTAGGATTGACCGTTGTCGAGTTATAGGTGAAAAACTGAAACAAGTCCGAAAATTTCGAGGTTTTTTGACCGCCAAAAATTTTCCACAACCTCCTCGAGGTCGAAAACTTGGATTTGACATCACTTAACATGTACAAATAACATACTTGAATTTCATCAACTTCTAAATTTTTCATCGTGACACCCCTTTTTCACGACCTGCCGACTGGGCTATTTGTCATTTACCTTGATCCTCGGACACTCAAAATAAGTCATAGTATATCTAGTTTGAAAATAGAAGTTTTAGGTGGTTCATTATCAATGTTTTATGGTTCTTCCATAAATGTCAAATAGATATAATTGAAATATTTACAGGACATAAATTCGATTTTTATTGACATCTATAGTCAGCCGTTACTATGGTCCACTAGCCACAAAACACATAACCTCAATTTTGCCCATTATTGTCATTGTTGTGTTATTCACTCAAAAACAAATAATTCCATTCCATTTTCTATACTTCAAAATATGATCTCGATGTTAGCTACAGAAACATATTAATTAGTTCATTTGTAATTGGCGGGTTTACTAGTGTGAAGCGGACTCTGCTCCATGCCATCTTCTTTAGTCCTAACCGGACTTTATGATTGAATCATAATTTGGAGAATGTGATATTAGTCACGAAAATGAATAAAATCACCATAAACACATCAAATCTACATCTAAATATTTTATTTTCCTACTTACACTATACAATGTACAAAACCTATAATGTTCATAAAAAATATTAGCCTAATATAATTCATTTTTAAATTTTCTGATACATTAATCAAATGTTAGTACCAAATCAGAGTACGGTTACCATAATATGTATAAAATTAGTGTAAATAAAATCACATAATATGCTCCTTAAAAGACAATCGTTTCTATCTCCACTAATATATATGAGCTCACAGCTAGAAATGAACGAGAGATATTTGCGCATGTTTCATGATTCAGCTTTTGAAGAAATGTAATCAGTGATATCAATACAGCATCAATATTGGGTTGAGAGTTGGTTAGCAACATATTTCATTTTCAATTTTGACTTGAGATTTCACTAAAATTTCATCAATTTCAGAAATGTCCTCGAACTCATGAAGTATTGTATATGTAAGATCTCCCAAAATGCTTGATTATAATACATTTATAGGACAGGAGCTGAAGCTTGACAAATTCATGTGAAATGTTCATTTATAATATCAGAGAGAGCTTCAATTATTTCCGGGTATTTTTTCGAGAACACGAATATTTTGAAAATTCTAGAGTCGAAGACGAAGAAAATTTCACACTGAAATATTACTAAAAAATTATTTGGATAGAGACGATTTTTGATGGTTTTGTAAATTTCGAATTTGCAAGTATACCTACATAATATTATATGGTAAACTGTTGATAAATGATGTTTATTTATTGACTTATAGAATGTCATTTAACCTATAAACGTCAAAAAAATTTCAGTGTTATTTCATGCTCCGTCCCCCAAGGAGGACGAAAAAAATTCCAAGAAATTTGTTTAGTTGCTATGGTAATGATACGAAATACAGGCTTCAAATAAATCGAAAATGTTTGGTGTGAAATTTTCAGTGAAATTTATGAAATTTGCTATGAAATAGTATTCTGAAATTTTATAATGGAAAAATTTCAGTTTCCAGCTGAATGAAATGTTTCAAAATTGAAATTTCCATGTGTAAATTTGGATCGTCACAACCCTTGCCATGCGCATATATCTGCCATTCTTATTCAGTGGTGCTCGATCTGTATGAAATTTTAGCCGACAAATCTTTACATCCTAATTCATATTTAGTTAGGTAATTATTCATATAAATAATAAGTGATACTCATGCGGAGCAGGAGGCACAAACAACAGAAAAGCCTCTAACTGCATATCATCTATCAGACCAAATGAAATAAGCTGTTTCCAACACCAATTCAGTCAGACACAAATAATTACTATAAATCTAACCGTAACTAATATGTACACCAAAATGTTATGAAAAGGCATATTCATCACCTGATATTGTATTACAAAAATATATGTGGTATAAAATTTGATGAAAATAACTTCCCAGCAGCAGTATACTTACAGTAGTAGTAGTTGGTGGTGGTGAGATTTTTTACAATAAAGAATAAACCTGAATCGATTTTACTTCCTATAGTTATCTGTGCAAGTGTGCACACTGTGCAATGATATTGTTTTTGCAAATATCATTTTTATTTTCAACTTACCACTAAAATCATACTCCTGTCGTTGACACAGTTTCATAAAATTCTGAATGAAGTATATACAATTTTACTCTTACTTGCTCAAATGTATAATTTTGAATCAAGTGAGATGTTCTTTATCATTTCAAATTCAATAAATCAAACAAAAATATATCAGATGATAAGAGAGAAAACATTCCATATTTCTGTACAAAATATTTCCTATGCCTCATCTAATGTCTGTGAAATGGAGATACTGTTCTGTCTAAAATGATAGAGAATCCTACTATATTTTCTATTTTTTTATCACTGGTTCTATCATGTAACAACAAAAAAATGCATCATAAGATATTTTTCCTTGTAAGTCAATTTTTAAACTAAAAAATTTCAGAACTTTTTCTTATATTGATTTGTTTACTACATGAGGCTACAAAATGGAATATTTTATGTAGCAATTATAGCATATGGGATTCAATACACTGAAATCGATGTTTTTGAATATAAGTGTCCATATACTTGAAAACTTCTGGGATTGGTACTCGAATTTGAAAAAAAAATGGAAGGAAGAAAATAGTATAATAATTCCCTGATCAACTACTCTTCCCCATGAAAACAAATCGTAGATTAATGAGAAATTCTTGCTTGGCAAACCTGACATTAATATCAACTTACTTGTATAGAAAAAATAACATAGCTAACCACTTCTGATTATTGCAACGTAATGTTGAACTTTACCGTACTTGATAATATGACATCATAAGATGGAAGGAACCCAATTCAAAAATCAAAATAAACATAATAATTATAATTCTTCAATAAAAATAAAAACCAATATAAGTAAGTAGTACGTGAAATTATTGGGAATATATCCATAAACGTGAGAAAATTGTATCTACTTTTCGAAATTTAGTCAAATCAACACAAATTTTCATTCAGTACTCTATAACTGAACGAAAAACCAATGCATTTTAGTATTACTGAAATACAAACAAGTATCCTGCCCGACTTTTCATTAGATTTTATAAAAAAACCAAGAAAACTAATGGATACAGTGTTGCCAACCTACTTCGATTGAAAGTCCCTAGCAAGGGTCAAGAAATTCCCATTTTTCCAAAATTTGTTTGTTTTCGTTAGAAATGGGCGCCCAAATGGTCCATATTTATAATATTTTCCACATTGAATTTGAAAAGTGCATAACTTGCATGAGAGAAAAAACTTGGAGAATGAAACTGCTTATATGCTTCCAGAATTGAGACTTCTGGCACTGTCCTTTGTTCTATATATGTGTTCTGTGCATGGAACTACGGCTATTTTCATGTCAGTCGGACACACGACATAGAAATTCAAATACCAGAACACTAACATAAGATGGTATAAGACAGAGACAAGTTAATCTCTGGTGAGATAAGTTAACTTTTCGCTGGTACAGATAGCAGCAGGTAGCCAAGTACGAAAATTCCCAATTATGAGTTTATTTGGTTTTTCTATCCTTTTTCCCATTTCTATATTTTTTCAACAAATATTCCCACAATATGGGAAAATTTCCATAGGTTGGCATCACTGCCATATATTATATTATAAGGATCTAAGATTGAAATATCTAGGTTTCTCCTAAAGCATTTTTCTTTTATAAAAAATCATAATTTTTTTAAAGAAAACACTTCCAAATTAACCCAGATAATTCAATCAGTTAACTTTATATTTTTGTGTTTTTTTGACCATGAAAAGCAGAGGCGCAGGCATTCCAATAATGAATGGTGGTACCTCCTTCATTCAATGAAGAGAGCTGTTTCAGTTTCCCTCCAGAGTTTAATGATCAGCTTGTTTGCTTTTAGCAAGTCGACAAATTATTTTCTAACATCCCCAATAACTTTTTATAAATGAAAAAAAAAAGAAATTCTGCAAATTAACAAATTGCCAAGAACTTTTGAGCAAGTAATTTTCTCACAACCAATATAACAAATGGCGAATGTTTAATCCTCATTCTGTGGTGGTTCCTTTGGCTCCACATTTGAAGAGGTAGAATTTGTTCGAGGAACCATCAAGATTGATCCATCTGCTGAAGTCTGCAAGCTATACTGGTATGGTGAATAATGATTACCATCAGGATCTCGCAAATTCTGTGAAAAAAGTCGAGTGTAAAAACACTGAATTCATTGTGTGTATGACAAAATAATTTAGGTTTTCTGATAGATAGAATAAGTAAATTAAAACATGTTTAGCGATCATATACCAAAATAAAACATGGAAATGAAAAAATACGGATTCAAACAAAAACTGAAAACAATGCGTCATTACAACGAAAAAAAAAAACAGTTAAAACCATGAATAAGATCAAAGAACAGAAAGTGAGTTCATTTGTCGATTCAGTAGAGAAAACTTAATATATCTGGAAAAGCCCTCACAATATCTTGTGAAAATACCTCACCTCATACTAATAATCTCGAAATTTCAATAGATCAAATGAAGCAACATTGAGAAAAAACCTATTCTCCTACAATAATTATGTTCTTCAGGTTGAACACACCTCCTTATTATGTGTATGAACTCTTATAATTTTTCATTGTCTGTATATGTACTTGCCTATAACAATAAAGACTATGAACTAATCTCTTCCAACTCGAATATGTTCCCAAGCAACAAGCTTCATGATAATAATTGTCCAAAAAAAACCTGACCCATTATATTTTGCTCTTTTCTATTCAAGTTCCATTTCAAACCACGAAAATTACGTTTGCCTATGTCACCAGATAACGGCATTTTCATAGAGACGACTCCGGTTTCTACTAACCTGGAAAACGTGTCTGTAGAGCTGTTGGTATTTGTCCCTCATCCTCTTACACTCATTCTTGAGATACTCGTGATCTGAAATGAGCCGCATCTTTCTATCCTTCATCTCCTTCACTTCATCCGCCAAGCTCAAGATTTGATCGAGCTTCCGCTTCCTGCAATTCTGCGCGGCCACTTTGTTCTTGCCCCGCCTCCTGATGTCTCTGATCAGACTCAGCTGAGTCTCGCTCAAGTCGTATTTCGACAGACGCTCGTTGAACTCGTCCATGGGCAAGTTGATGATGTCATCGACAGTGATCGGCACGTTCAAGGACCTGGCGAAGTGATGAGTCGTTATTGCGGAACGGTTATTTTGTCATGTTATTTTTCGATATAAACAAATAAAGCCTATAATAGGAAGCACGCTAGAAGAGTCACGAATTGGTCTCAAGAAAGCAGGAGCATTCAAGATCATATATTTACAATCAGTAAAATAGCCGACAAAATGTTACAACAAAAAAAGAAGCACATGTATTGCGTTCGATGAATTACAAAGACACAGATTATGGAATAGTGGAATAGACGAAAAATTAATAAATAAAATGAAAAATAAACAGAAACATTGTCAACTGCGTTATCTAACAAAATAGAACATCAGGAACTTTTTCAACAAAAGATGGGCCAAGACAAAGAGGAGGACTGGTCCCCGTTTGTTCACTATATACATGTTATGTATATGACTCAATCAAGAAATATACAGCTAGAGTGTAACAACATACAACAAAAAGATACATTTTAATATACAACTTGAAGGAATAAATATTGAACAAGTGAAAAGCTTTAAATACTTGGGAGTAGAAATAGAAGACAGTGGAAGGCAAGACAAGGAAATAAATAGCAGAATAGAAAAATCCCTGAATTTATACTATGCAATGAACAAGTCATTTATAAACAATGACGGAAGTAACAGATAAAAGAAGATTGGGTATTGAATCACTAACAAAAAAGTATTAATCAAGCCATTGAAATGAAATATCTAAGAAGAGTTGAAGAGATAGAGTTTGGAATATAAGAATAAGGGAAGAACTAGAGGTACAAAGATCAATCGTAACGGAACATGTTTCGGGATTATATAAGCCCATAATCAGCCAATAGAAAGTGTCATAGTTCTAGAAAAATCGGTATTGACTAAGGATATAGATGCATCTATTTAAATATCATTAATTTTTGGCTGACCTAGAGAGATCTACCTGTAGAAGTGTTCCTCCATTGAATGACTACTTCACCGGTTATATCAACTCCTTAGATTCTGATACAGTGTTCAAATTTCCCATGGGGGTATTTTAGCCATGCCTGAATCAAATAGCCTAGTCACTGTTCTTCGAAAAAAAAAATCCTAATAGCCGTTTTAAAAATTTTCCCCCTTCAACAAACAAAAGTAGGCAATGCAAATCTGAATATTTCATATTTGTCTACTTTTTTGAATAGAGCTCGTTGAGTACTATAATATTATGGAATTTTTGTTTTTGAAAATCGGTCGACGGGTTCCAAATTAGGAGGGTGTTGCGGGTTGAAATCGTACAAACTGTATAAAAAAATTATAAAAAATATCAATTCCCTGGCAAATGATTCCACATGGCTATCCCCTCTATTCGCGATTTCATTCATTTATCCGGGTTTAGAATTGCTGACGTATAGGTATTTTCCAATGATTGATGAATGAATCGCGATGTCTTTCTATTGCTATTTAGTCTAAGGTTACTCCCATCACTAACCTGGCGCGCTTCTCGTCCCTAGTCAGGTGCTCGTCCTCGGCCTTCCGAGCCTTGGCCTTATCCCGCGAAACTGGCCTCTGCATCGACCCGGAACTCTCCACCGGCAGATGGTAGGTGTGATTGTGCTGGATGTGGTCGGCAGGGTTCCTCGGCACGTGGCCGAAGTCCATCGAGCAGTACTTCATCTCCGGCACCTTGGGACCCACGGCGCCTTCCGTTTGACTAGGGATGTTGTAAGGGGTGGAACTCGGTTCTCGGTATTCGTATTTGACGGGGGTGGAAGGGTGAGAGGCGCCGGGCGAGTTGTGCTCCTGGAAGTACCTTTTTCCGTACATTTGGTGTTTCTTTTGGGCGACCGGTGGCATGCGGACGTTCTCGGTGCTTCCGATGCCATTGTTGTGTTGTCGACTGGTGTAGCTGTAGTCGAACGGGCGTATTTTACTGAAAACAAGAACAATATTCATGCAGGTAAACACCCGACTTGTACGAGATGGTAAATAACTTGCAGAAAATCTGTGTCATCAGACCAAGCAGAGAATGCGTCTGATAGTGCGTTGGCGGGAGATGATTCCGGGCATTCGACTTTCAACGGAAAGAATATCTGGAGGCACTCTTCCTTGGGTATCTAATGTGGAGTTGGCTGCGCACATCTCTGCAAGAATTGTGCGCTTTTGTCTTGCGATGCTGTTGCAAATTGTGCCGTCAACTATGGAGGGTAGTGGAAATGAACTATTAGTGTAATTCCTTCCGACTGCTTTTGCGAAGGATAAAAACGAACGGGATCCATTGAGACAATCTATGAGTTTCGATAATATTTGGGCATTGTATGTTTATTTTGATACATCTATTTTTTGACTGCAGTTATTCTTGGCTTCAACATATTGTTCTAATCATGATAATCCATTTTCAGCGTGATGATCTGGTGAGTTATAATGCTATACAAGACGTGGAGGTGCTGGAGCAGTGGATGGAATGAAAAATGGGCAGGTTGTGGATATGATTGGGGTCAGAATTGCCTAGTGGTGCTCGTACATCTATGAAGTAATGTGTTGAATTATTAGTGAGGAATAAGTTTATGTTAACTGAATTGTTATTGGCATCAGGAAAATGTGTGTTTATTGATGAGCTGCTCTAAGCCGTAAATGATGTATATGTGGTCATTTGTGGGCATTCTGAGTGTCAGTTATTACTTTGCATGTGTATGAAGCATGTATCAGTGAACGATAATTGGAAGAGCCATATTTCCCACTTAGTCCCAGGGTTGCCTATTCGGGAGTTATTTACTCACATTTATGAGTAACTCCGCAACCTGTGAGGAATCATGTGACTAATCTAACACAATTGTCAGTAAAATGTGAGTAATTGGAGGTCACCACAGGCTGTCAAATAACCAATAATGAAAGACTAGATATATTGCTATAATTCGGCATCTTGTTCTGGGAAATATCACTTCTGTCATATGAGAACAACAGCTCTATCGACTTTCATTTTGAACGATTTCTCCATGTCTTGATATTGATATTTTTTCAATGTTCAAGACTGAATTGGTGAAGACACATATTATGAGGCCAGCGCGCCAAGAGTGGGAGTGGTCGCGTTGGGCGTAAGCACCCGAATAAAATATCGGAGATGTCCGAACGGTGAAAAGATGTATAACCACAGGTGAGCTGTCACATGCACCAATTGACTTGATAGATTGTTTTTATCGATGAGTTCGCTCAGCAAGTGATTTTATCTCAGAAAAATAATATGCAGCATGGCTTGACAAATGTAAATAAATGAATACCCAGTATATTTTCCTTAATTATATTGAATTTATGTTTTAATTTTCAATCCAATCGCAAATAAATTAGTATCGATAGATTCGTCAAAAAATCCTTTTTTCGAAAAGTGCTTGTCGAAAAATGGTTGCCATTTGAAAAATAATAGACACAGAAATGTATAATTCAACTTGTCTTTTTCAACATCTTACATCACCATCACGTGTTCGGTGAACTGATGGGTTCGCGATCGAGACCCTTGTCACTAAATCTGTTATAGTGTTAGTGTTAGTCAGTGTTTCTTCACACTATAACTGGTGGTTTGAGTTTTCGTTTTGTGACAAAATATGGCATCTAGTGGATGGTGTTTATTTTGGTGAATTTTTCAAATACATGGTGACATCTGAAGTTTGCAGGTCCTCGCATCCGATATTGCCGTTGTTTTTTAAAAAATTCTATTTTAACGTAAAGGTGAAGGAAAGTTTTCATTGAAAAATTTCAATTGAAATCAGTTTCTAACGGTTACGTCGACATTTTGGCTGTTTTTGTATGATCTCAAATGTTTGATTCGCTTTCAAAGTTTCCATATGTTGAATAGGTTTGACGGCCAAACATCGAAACGTCTTTCTCTGTCACACTCATTGAGCTTATGGAAACTTCGGTTGTTCTATTTCAAAATGGAAAGTTGATGTAATTTCCAGGAAAACCATAAGATGAAAAAAATTCCTAGAAAGTGCTTTTTATAGTGAGCATATTCGATGTTCCAAATTTCAGAAATATATAGTGTCTGTCACCCGGTATGTAACATAAACTCAAGTTTGTCAGTGATGTTATGAAGAATTGATTTTGTTCGTTTTGTTTTCTATTAGAAAAAAAATACTTTTCTCACCTGCCCTCGCTTTTTTATAATATCGTTAAGCCAAGATTTTTTGACGAGCTAAACTTCCATTATTTGGTGTTATCTAGTGATCTTAACCGAAGTAGAAGCCAACAGAAAATCACTAGATTTACAAAAAAATTCGCCTGCGGCACATTTTTTCCCAATTCCATCAGGTTTCCCAGATAACACAAAGACGTCCTGTGTACGTTCAGAGGACGTACATCTCGGACGTACAAGACGTCCAGTGTCGGTCGAAAAACGTCCATAGGACGTACTGGGGACGTCCGATGTTACAAGGTAGAACGTTCCAGGGACGTCCATATTAGGCCCAAGTTTGGCATTTCATCGCATTGAATACCATAATCACCGTAGATTCGTCTTTTCTTACTCAGATAGAAGAAAAAGAATCTATACAGAGTAGATAAAAATCTCATTTTGAATACAAAATAAAAAAAAAATCCCTTTCCTATCGTGGATCGATCCCGCGACCTTTAGATTACCAGGCAGATGCTCTAACAATTACTCTAAACAACACTTTTTACATAATATAGATTGAGTGCAGAAACACTCCACCAAATGGAATCAGACTGAATGTTCTGATTGGTCAGATATAGGACAGGACGTAGAATGTGCATATAAATTCATCTTTATATCCTTCGAAATCGGCATCCTATAAATATTGGATATACATTTTTCAGGATAATAATATGCCAACATTGCCAGATTCACTTCAATTTCTCCACATTGGTCACAAAAAATCACTTATTGATTCATTGTGACCTATTATCAAAATAATCGGCAGATGCCTTATTACTACTCCATTTGATCACATTTGGCAAAGTTTTATTATCATTGAAAAATATAATGAATATAAAGTGAATAATGAACATAGAAAAATTCAAGACTAAAAATGGACGTCCTGAAAACGTACGCTCAGTACGTCTCGAAGACGTAGGGGATGGTACGTTCTGAGGACGTCTGTATTAGGTTCCGGGACGTACGGAATCGGACGTAATATGTACGTCCTCGGGACGTCGTGTGCTGTCTGAGTTGGTGATTTTTCTGTGTTTCGGGTGGCCATTTTGCGACTTTAGGTAATATGAGTTGGCAACACTGGTGTTAGTACTCACTTGGGATAGTCGGTGACGTAGTGCTCGGCCGACGTGTGCCCGGAATCGGACCCGCCGTCGCCCCACTCGCCGTCGGACAGCGACGGCACCCGCTCGGACCCCATCGAGCTGACGGCGCTGTCGCTCGACGCGTCCATGCGCTCCAGGTCGGTCCTGGTTACGGCCGTCGCGGCGCTGGTAGACGTGGCGCCGGTCGCGCTCGCGTTGCTCATCGTGTTGGGGCCGTCCAGCATGCGCATCGTGTACATTCCTGGAAACGAGGCATTCGTTAGAATCGAAGCAAATATTCTGTTTTCTGTGACGGAAAAAAAGTTTGGCATTTCATCTCTGTTGGCAGGTTATAAAATGTCACTTTTCATAAATTACTTTTTTCCCGTGGGAAAAAAGTGAGTTTTTTTTCCCGGATATATATCACATATATATACACTGTTGATGGATTTTGTTGTGCTACATAGTTCCGAAAAATGAGTCAATAATACCGTCTCCAAGAAAGAACTTCAAGTCCTTTTATCTTCCATTGGACTCCGTTGTTACGTATATTACTGAACAACCACTAAATTCGCAATTTTTTGAAATCAAATCACAGAATTAGATTGACAGAAGTCACATCAGATATTTGATTACCTCAAAAGAATGATAAAGATGCCTACAACGCAGGTGTCCCTGCTGTTAAAAACTTAAAATTTCACGTCCATAATCTTCAGATTTCAAAATGATGTAATATCTTCTCAATATTGATTCGTCCTTTCTTCTGTCACAGAAAAAAATAGTGTATTATACACGGGAAAAATATTAGATTTTAGCTCACGGTTTTTTGTCTCCATCCGCTACGCGTTGGGAGACAACACAACCTGGGGCTAAAATCTACTACTTTTTTCCCTTGTATAATAAATAACTATTATCGTCCAGATGAAATTGAATTATCATCGACAAAGTCATCATACTCAAAAAAAATATGAGAGAGCATCATTCAATTACTCGACTGTGTTATTAGGGGCCTAAATTAAGTTTTGCAACACTTTTCACGCTTTTTTTATGTAAATAATGAGCCCATGCGACGTTCAAAACCGCTGAATTTCAGAGCTCATTTCAAACGTAACGTCATGACCGCCATTTGGCAATACGTCGAATAAATGACGTCAGAGTTTCTATGCTGTTTCGTCATTGGTCCGACAATCATTCATTCCCACTCATGGAGCAAGGTTGTCAAGTCACCAATTATAATCAAGTTATCAAAAAAATGGAGTCATGTCGTTGAATAAAACATAATAGGAGGATGCCATGATATTACAGTTTATTCTTGACTTTTTCGAGCAATCAGCATGTCCAAATATTTATTATAGGTACTCAATAACAAAATATCATGTAAATGTAGGAGAACGCGAATATCTGCGTAATCGTTTGAATTAACCCTATCAAACCCGGTATCAATGAATTCGTTATGACAATCCCTAACCGATTATGGAATACAATACAGGGTGTGCCATTCAATAATCGAAAGTTGAAGTTGTTTCCCGCAAAACCGGAAGTGATAGAACAAAAATTGTTGTCGTCAATTGATGAGCAATTTGGTATACTAGCTGCCCACCAATTTTCAAAACCCTGTGCACTTCTCTGTATATATATATACTATTATTCACGGAAATGAATTTCATACCTACATACTTATTCGATATATTGGAAATGTTGAAGAACAAGTGCAAATTCAAATAATATTTTTGCTCGCTTATTTCTTTCCCAAAATTACTTTATAGAAAAATATTGAGTCATTATACCCAGTAAGTATAACAGGCAATAACTCCATCTATCTGAGTGAAGCTCGATTATAATAAATGTCATAGAATTATTTTTTTATTATGGACAATCAAATTCCACTAAAGCCTCCCCTGGTAATGTTGCATCTCTATTGCGCATGCTCACATGTAGGAATACTATGATAATTAATAAATTTCTAGATATAGCCTGGCAATCCCAATGAACTCAATGGTGTTTATATTGAGTTCATTGGGCAATCCTGGCATTGAGAGAGAAGAATTGACGACAACGTAAGAGTGAGACGCAAGGCGCAACAAAACCAGCTTATGGTTGAGTACAAATTTCCTGTAAATGTGATATCACAAGTTATTTTCATCAGATTTGAATTTTAGTGTCAATGTATGTACTTAAAAACTTTAGTGACCGAAATCCACCCATCCAAAAAGAAAGTTTTTGTTTCGATTTGACTAACAATAATGAATTTGACTCATTTCAAATCGAACATTTACGCGCCGAATGAAAGGTGTTGTGGAGAACCAACCAATGATTTCAACAAACGAGAGAGAGGCAACAAGCGCAGCTACCAGCTGATGGTTGGCTACAAATATATTTGTTTTTGTTGCACATGCAGCCTAATCGATGGCCCTTTCTCTTTCTTACGTGAATTTCAATGCTTTGTACAGGACGGTCAGGCTAGCGCGGATCTATAGTAGTAGAGAATATATATTGTTAGATCATTGTTTAGAACGATATTGGCATTTTAGTTCTTTGACTTCTGTGGTGTATATTTGATATCAACTTACGAGAAACGTAGCCACAACAAAATATCCCTGACATAATACCCTTTTCCCCAGTTTACTGATCACGTGGTTCGAAGGTAGGTATGAGCACATAATTTCTCCGAGGCACGAATGCTGAGCGAGAATAATCCAATCGAGATTATCTCTTATCTGTGACTCATTTACATATACTGACGATCAATCACGCACGTTTGAAATTAGATTAATAGCTACAGTACCAGACTGGCCCACCAAGATAACCTTATTCTATCAATTATAGGGTAGGTAGAACACTGAAAAATAAGTTAGGTTTGCTCAGTAAAAACATTTCGTATCGGTATTCGTTTTCAAGATACAATAAGGTGTTGAAACATTTTTTTTCACATATTTTTTATGATAATGTCGAAACTACTGGCAACATTTTGATGAAATTTTGTATGAACCTTGATTATATACAACTAGTGTGAATACTCAAAGGTATGAACATGTTTTGAAAGATGACGCATCGCATGAATTTGTTTTTATATCTGACTCTCATAGAGGGCATTAGTTACAAGGTTTGTACCAAGTTGTTTTAAACAAAATTTTTTGGGGTTCTAGATGTTATACTTAGTCCAAATTTTATGTGAACATAATTCAGTTGTAGACTAAAAAGGTTCTCTTATTGGTAAGACTTGATACTGTTCCGTTTGCGGAATATTTTGATTCGAAAATGATGAAGTAATAACTTTTTCTGGTATAATTAAGCTATGTATAAAGTGAGTACCTACTATGAAAAACTATTACCTATTTCTTGAAAACCAATAACAACAACATATTTCTAATGCTGAAGTTATTATTTGAACAATGAATCACAAGAATATCATTGAAATATCATACAACATTTTTCACTGAGCAAATCCAACTTCTTTTGGAGTTTTCTACCTACCCTAGCAAATGGGTCAAACCCATCATTAATAACAATATTTAATATGCGCTTTTTTTTTGTGAAAAAAACGTGGATGGTGGATATAGAAGTACGCATCTTCGATGGATAACCCTGTACAGAGTACGTCATTTAAAATTGAACCCCGTTCAATGTTTTTTTTTATGGTTCCGTCAATGTAAAACAGTTAGTAAATTTCAACTTAGACTTCTTGGGTAGGTATTGTGTCTCTTGAAATGGTTGCAAAATAATAGACATTTTCAGGATTAATTTTGGAGTCGTAGGATAAGTATATGATTACACTCGTTCATAAACTCTTCTATAAACACGTATTTCAAATATTTGATACCCTACGCTACGCTTCTACTTGAATATATTCGCGTATACAGGGTGTTTCCATAAATTAGAGCGATACATGGTATGGGTAATAGAAGACTAAAACGAAATGAATGAGAGTTTGTGAATCATTGATCAGAGGTTGATAATGAACTCGAGCGTTTATTGTTGCCGAACGATCAATAACAATTGAAAGAGTATGCTGAGAGTGTACACTGGAACAAAATCAAACCAATTTTGTCTTCCGATTTATTGTGTCACTATGCCTCATACAACGCCCCATGTTATTCACTGCTCCAATTTCGGAAACACCCTGTGTGTAAATTTCCATTTACAATACTTTAATTTCATAACATAAATCACTATACTAATGAATAATATGCCGTATATTTTCCGTTGATAGTTCAATTTTCGTCTCACGAAATTTTTCAGGACGTCTAGAAATTCTCAGGAATTCCACAAAATTTGAATGTTATTTCTAGGAAATCACTATTAAATCAGAATTTCCACTGGTTCCTGAGTAGTGAGAATTTGCCGGTAGGTATTGCCAAAAAGTCTTTTTCCAAAAAGCTCAAATCCGCACATTGCACAATAATTGAGATACGATATATTTTGAATAAAAAAAAGATGCGATAAGAATGAAAAAAGTGCCAATGATTGAAACACACAGATGTTTATAGGCACTCATCTGAAATATTCCCGTTGATCGATGATGATTTCAAACACTGGTCTGTTTTATGAACATTGGCGTTATTCCCAATAAAATTAGCTATTCATAGTTGGTAAACAAACTATTCTGAACTGGTAAACAAACTCAAACAAACATACGTGAGAAAATTAGAGCAACTCCACTTCATTCTTCGAGCACCTCATGATTGTCTACTTTGCACCCAACTTGTCTTGAAGGCATTATCAAAAAGAACTCTTCACAAGGTCTACTTCACTGAAAATTATCAGCCTTTCCAATAGGCTAGATTCCAACATATTTTTTGCAGCATCAGTATAAAATGAACAAACAATAAGAATTGTTTATTGTTGATATATCAGTGATGGATAAGGGCCGCGGCATGATAGGCTATTTCTAAATAACACCGGGTGTTCCTTCAGGAGTATCAAAAGTGTCAGGGCATGTAGGCGCAAGCTCACTTTTCAGATGAACAGATGACAGTTACTGCGACAAGAATAGTAGATTGTTTTATTAGGATCAAAAGTGACACTTTGTTTGACAAGCGAATTTTGAATTTGCGAATCAAACAAAGTCACTTTTGATCCGAATATGTGAAGTAACCACCAATGTGGCTTACTTGACAGATTATTATATTACGTTTATTATAATAATATAGGAAAGTAGATAGAAGGAAGACCTCATACTACTTTACATTAGAATATTGGTGAACGATGAATTTACTTTGTTACA